ACACACCTCCTTCCTTTAAAACCCTTGAAACAATAGTTAGCTGGGTTCACCTTGCTGCCCAACCTCCCCGGCACTTATCAGTGTCCCCAGAAAAAGGGAGAAATCAAGGCAGTGTTGTGTCCCTGTCAAAGCACAGTTAATGTACAAGCCAGCAAACAACATGAAATGAGGACTTAAGTGTGGATGGGGTAGGAGGAGGTGTTTCCTTACGCTGGGAAGTCTGCTGCATACTGCCAGCCCTCCCGGTCCGTCCCGCCCGACACGTTGAAGTCAATGTACCAATCCGACACCTGTTGTCAGAAGGAGACAATAACAAGCACAATCAACACCTGATGGATAATAAAAATAATCTCTTCTGCTGTTTCCCTACACCTTCTGAGTGCAATGACTTGCTAGAAATCTTCCAATACTAGAAATTGAAATTTATACACAGGTTCCCAGGTCCCTTTAATTCAGCTGGAAGGGATCAGTCTAAGTCCTGCTAAACAAAAAACCCCACTTGATGCTTAACATTCTTTTGCCTATGGATTATTACCAGTGAAATGGGAAAAACAAGGTTAAATGTTGCAACAAATCCAGGAAGAAAATCTGGGTCGCTTGAACTCAAGTCTTGTATCCCACTTGCTAAAGCCTTGCCTTCCTCATAAAAAAAAACTTCCAAGACAAAATTTACCCAAGACCATTGTGGAGAAGGAGGCTTGGTGTTGATCTTTGTACACTCCTGCAGGCCAGATGCATCACTCCACATGTATCTGTCTGTGGGCAGCCCTCTGTGGTGGAACAGCAGACGAGGAATGCAAGGTCATTTACAACAGAGAATTTAAAAAGCGAGGGAATAAAAGCCTTTTTGTAGCACTTCCTACTTTCATACACAAAACAGTCAGCTGACATTAATCTCTGTTTTTAGAAATATCATGTGATTGATGAGGATAGTGGGAAAGAATCTGTACAATTGCTTCCAGTTACACCAAACTTGAGGACTGTGTGATCTCTCTGTAGAGTGATATTCCTCACCACTATTTAAAATTGGAAGGTGAATCCTGAGTTTCTCTGGTATAGACCCTCATATATGTGATTATATATTTTCAATACTTTTGTTCAAATATACTATTCAAGGACCCAGTGTATTTACCAGAGTATGCATGAATATACAGATGCTAATAACTTTACTGCGTGGCCTTAATAATGAAAGATATTGCAAGTAGGCACACTTTGTGCAATCACAAAGCACAAATCTGCAGTGTTTTGCCACAAATGCTTTTTGAATGGATAATTACAAATTAGAAAATTGAGAAACACTGCTCCTTCTATCTCAGGTTAATTATAAGTGCTGAAGGAGACTGAAAATAGAATAACTGTAATAACTATGCCAAAAAGCTAGAACAAACCCTTTGTTTCATTTGACAGTAATAATATTACAGTAAATAAATACAGTAAATTGACTAAATAACCTGCTGCTGTATCCAGTGACTGGGTTCCACCGTTGGTTCTCATAGATGTAAACACATTTCACATCTGACTGTGTATAAATGTTATCAGCACTACTGGCCAGTCCTGCGAGAAATAAATAATTTGGATTAGAGTAAAGCTAAAACCACTACATTTTAAACTCCAAGATGCTACCTTTCAAATTCAATATCTCACTCTTAAGCTGAAAATATGAAACTGCAATACCAATTCATTTCTAAGGTGTGGCCTGTTCCTGTACAACCCCACACGTCAGGCTACAGGAAGGGCAGCACAAACAGCTTGACCAGCTGACCCAGTCAGGAAGGTCAGTCAGGAATGTGCACCCAGAGCCCCCTGTGCATACCTTGGATGAAGCCCCCTCCGTAGCCCCCCGTGTGCACCCAGGCCGTGTGGTCGTGGCCGATGCCCCACACGACGCCGCGGTTGTTGCACTCGATCAGCCGCAGGTGACCCCCCACCTGGCGCCAAAACCTGCCAGAGAAAGGACAATGTTTTACCCTACACCACATCCATCAGGAATGTCTGCTTTCCCCGCCTGCAACTCAACAATCTTCAGGACAGGCAACTTAATCTGCTCACTTGTTCAACCCCTGGGCAACCTGTAAGTGAAGGCAGTTGCCAGCTGAAAGCATTTCACTCTGAACAACATCTGCCTGAAAGCAGATGGTGTTGTTTTTCTTGAGGAGTTTGCAAGTACCATATTGTCACAGTTATAATAGAAACTGTAAAGAAGCTGCTCCTGGACTGCAGGGTCTACAGAGGACTGAAAAGTTCAGATTTTCTGACTCAGTTAAAACTGAACGCTCCAATTACAGTGATTAGGTTTACTTTTAGTCTAGGCTATCTCTTAAGTAATTATGACATTAAAGATGCAATCACAAAAAATGAGATCTCAATGAGAAAAGCTTTTGAAATCACAAGAATTTGAGAAAGGCTTTTGAAATCACAAGAACAGTTCCAGCATCTAAGAATTAAAATATGATTTCTTCACATGCAGTGGTGAATATGAAGGCTGCCATTAACCCTGCCATTGACAGACATCTGCAGTGCACTGTACACTCCAACAGCCCATCAAAGCCATTGAATTGACAGGAAGGACATTCTCTGCTGGATGGCATCCCCTACAGAAAGAACAGCTTCTGAAAGCTCTTACATTTGATCACAGGGCATCAGCTGTGGTCCGGCCTCCAGCTCAGGACTTGGCTCACTAACAAAGATGTCTCCTTTACAGGTAACAGACCAAATGGCATGGTGAGAAGGAGGGCCCTGAATCCGTCTGCTTTCACAGCAGGACATGGTCAGCAAAGACAGCTACAAAACAAGAAGCAAAGAACCAACAGCTTCCATTTACAGTGAGAACAAAAATATAGATGTTCAGTACTGTAAAACAAAGCTTTACCTTTGCATGTTCTTCCAAATCAGCAAAGTGAATCTGCAGCCTTTTCTCTAAGGCACTAGAATTCAGGGGTTTAGAACTTATCACACAATCACTGGAGGCACTGTGGTTTGCAGGGACTGATCAGTATGAAGCATGTTTCAGGTTTCCCTTGCTCCAGTGTGTATCTGCCTGCCTGCACGTAAGGCTTTCTACAACAGTGACAACAGAGAGTGGTTCTTCTGCCAACGTAGAAGAACAGATTGAATTCAGCTCCTAAACTCATTTGTACCCTAATCTATATCCAGAAATTGGAAGGAAATGAAGAACAATATTGGTTTTGCTGTGGATAACTGCAGCACCAACACATGTGCAAACTCCAGAGGAGACAAGAAGCCTCAGGTGCCTGTAAATAAATTTGATCAGATGTTTCAAATACCTAAACTCTGAAAATAGATGAGTAGCCTGGATAGTGCAAATGTAATGCTGAGATTTCAGAGAGTAGCTTTTATGTTTTATTGCAGATATTGCCAGCTTGAAATGGAAGATTCCCAGAATTACCCAGTCATGCATTTCTTGCTCTGTTGTGGCTGCCAGGCGGATTGGCCATCGCTGCTTTGTCCTCTCAGGTGTGTACAGTGCAAAGGAGTGTTTGGCTTCATTCAGCACTTCGACTATAATAGTCACTTCATTCAGGAACACGTGGATGTACTAAGACAAGAGAAAAAAAATTGTGACTAAGGCAAACTCAGATAAACCTTCCTCAGAGCCAGCATTTTTGCACTTTGGGACTCCAAACAAGGCACTCCTGCCAAGGATAGCAAAGAATCAATTCTTGGCGCAGAAGGAATGGGGCTCAGTTTCCAGCCCTGCACTTCCTCTGATTCCTATTGCCTGTAGGCATTAACCCTATTTGTGAAGACTCTGGACAGCCAAACCTGGCTCTTTCTTCACAATCAAGAAAATTTTGAACTTCCAACAGAACTCCTAATTAGTGCAGAATTGATGGTTTAAGCAGTGTGGGTGGTTGCTGACTGGGTATTTCTGATGTAGCATTGACAGAGCTGCAACTCAGAAAAGTCTGTGGTTTGCTGGTACCCGGGGCTGCCTTTGAATTGGCTCCCAAAACTCAGAACGTTAGAGTGCCATAATTTGCCTCCTTTATGAAAGCTGATTTCCCTGCAGAGGTTTCCCTTTGCCAAATGCTCTCTCTCTAGGGTGTCAGGCTGGACACACCTTTTTCTCCTCGTGGTACATGTAGTAGATGAACAGGATGCTGTCGCGCATTCCATCGCTCCCCGTGAACTGCTCAAGGGCCACTCGAACATCCATCCATTTATGAGGCTTCCAATTCCTCCACCATTGCAAGGCTCCAGTTTTAACCCAAACTGACTACAAGGCAAACACATATTTGCAGGATTAACGAAACTGTGTAAACTCTTTTTCTGCCTCCCAAACACTTTTTTGTTGCCACAAGTTCTCTTTGCTGAAGGTTAGCCTGCATCATATCAGTTAATTCTGGCACAGAGCTGAAGGCAAAATGAAAACTCACAAAAATGGACTGAAGGGCACTGTAATAGCACGGGTGCAACAGTATTTTACATTTAACCTCTGCAAGCACACAGGTACTAATTGACTCTACTGTGCTCCTGTTATAACACAACCTCTGTTTGGAGTTTAAAGGTTTTTGACATAATCTTTTTAAACTTGATTAAACCCCTGGGCTCCAAGTGTTTTTAATCAAATGAATTCCAGATGTCATTTGGCAATTAGCAACCAAGGGACCAAAAATGTGAATGAATCTGAAAAAAGCCAAGGAGCCATAACAAAGGGAACATCAAACAGAAGTGCTGGTATTTAACAGCTGCCATTGACGTTTGCATCATTGTTTTATTTATGCAAGTTAAATTAATCTTTGAATGGCCACAGAGAGGAAAGTTCACCTCCTTGAGTCACTGTTTCAATTAAGAAGCCTCATCTTGTGGTAAAATAATCCATACAGTGTGTGCTGTTGCTAACATTTCTCTGAGAATTTGAGGTTTCAGAGTACTCAGATAATGCCGACCAATTTGTTTGTTCCTATACAAAACTATCTGATAATGTTTTTGGAGGAAGATTGCTGTTCCTTGTTTGACAAGCTGTTAATTTCCCACAGGGAGCTCAGACAGTAATAATCCAGGAAAGCTGTCATAGACAGGAATAAGGGCAAGAATATGAAGCTGACAGTAAGTTCAAATCATGTGTCAGAAGACAAGAGATGTGTCCCCACCGCTCACCTGCTCAATGGCCTGCTCGTAGTGCCTGAAATTCTCCAGTTCCCGCTTTGTCCTTTCACTGAGCTGCTGGAAAATCTGCTTCCTCCAGGCTGCTGTCTGAGCTGGGGTGATGGACAGGGACAGGGACTGCACAGAGCATGACAGACCTAGAGCAGAAGCAAACCCAGTAAACTCCAGGGAGCTTTGAACACAGTTTGTGAAAGGTAAAATCTTTCCAAGCCATAACCTGTCAAAATGGGAATTTTGTTGCTGAACTGCAAGATAATGAGGTGATACAATGCATTTAGAGTTACATTGTTACATACTGGGATGCCATAGTTCACAGTTTATTTTGAAAATGTGGTTATATTTCACTGTCTGTCAAGAATCTAAATTCTAATGCCACCCAATTATCAGCTGGGCTGACATTCACAATCCCTCTGTGTAACTTCTGTCTCATAGTCCTGTCTCAGTAGGAATGGCAGGAATGACTTATTGGCATCTGCATCTCTCAAGAGAGCCCTTTTCACTGCTTCCTGTTACTATTCAGTGATATGAGTTTTTCCACAAGTTGCAGTTTCAGTACAATTAAAAATGAGATGTAGATCCAGCACAGATTATTTTACAAAATTCTTAGGAAACTCAGAGCAAATATCACTTTTAATTTATATATCTCAAGCCCAAAGTGCTTTACAGCTAATAGCTGCAGCACTGTGCTCAGACACAGAGGCTATTACCAAACTGCAATAAGAGTAAGTGGGTTATCAGAAGTCTTTCACCATGGCTTCATTCCAAAACACCAAAACAGTATTTGTCTTAAAGAGCTTATTGAGCTGTGATTGGGAACTAGGCTCTGCTGTGGTGACTGGGTAGTACCTGATGGAGCAGTGAACCACTTCAGTGGGCTGTGCAGATCTACCAGGCAGCCTCCCCCAGACACCCAGGCCCACAGTGGGTGCTCATCAGCTCCGTACTGCTCCTCAGCTCCCGCCGGGAACACGCCCAGGGAGGACAGGCTGGATGTGTCCCCAAAGCTGCTGACGGAGATCACTGGGTGCTTCTGGGCCTCCTTCAAGTCAATGTTTGTCCACTGCAGCTCTGCAGAAGGATTTGGGCTCGCAGCAGATTTATGCATTTCAAGATCAGCTTTCTCATGACTTGTTGAAGCAGCAGTGGCTTCTCCTTGATCAGAGTCCAGAGGATCTGCAGGGAGGTTTGCAGGTATTTCTGCCTGGCTGCCTGTGCTGTTCCCACTGCTGCTGGATGCAGCTCCCATGGGGACAGTGCTGGTGGGGTTCATGGGCACGCTGGGAAGCTCTGTGTCAGAGGAAGTGTCTGCATCACCCTGAATGATGGCATTTGTTTGGGTCTGAATATCATCAGTAAAGAAACAGCCAGCACTGAAGGACAAATAGACAATTAATTAACTATCATCCAAAGCATTAATTACCACAGGCCTTAGACCATAAACACACAGAGAAACAGCAGACTTCTTTTTTTCTATCAGGGGAAAGAGTCCACCACAAATCTGGCAGAGCAGTCTAGTAAATCTGAACCACAGGAAGGAATCTCATTGATCTTTTCAAACAGTCGGTGGTGTTGGCTGCCCACAACTCTGAGGAAAACATTGAAGCAACATCACGTTTTCTGAATATGAAATAACAGATAGGATTTTTCAAAGCTCACTATTAACTTTATAATTTGTCTTAGCTAGAGAGGTCTTCTCAGCACACACTCTGACTCAAACAAGTAGCTTCTGCAGCACTCCCAGATCCATTGGCATGTCTGGCACAGCCCATAGGCCAGCATGGAGTAGCTGATTTAACCTCTCAAGGAAAAGGAATGTACAGTGACACTCAGGAAGGGTAATTCCTGAGTAAAGTTGACACTCCTTCATATTTCACAGACAACATTTCCTCTTATTAGAGACTGGTTCCAGATAGTGGTAGTAAAGCCCAGAGGAACATGCTTTACTGCAAACATGCACTGAATTCCTGTGTGGGAGCTTCAGTTTCTACTCTGAATCCAACAACTGCTGCTTACTGGTAATTTTAATGGGAAAAAATGCAAATGCCTTTTGGCATACATAATGATTGGAGATGCCTTCCCCACTCCTCCCTGTCTGTATGTATGTAAAGAAATGTAAAGAAATATCTCTTGATGTAAAGAATGTAAAGAAATATCTCCTAGCATTGAAACTCTGGGTGTACAAAGTCTTGGGCAGGCATTTCACGTGGTACCTGAGCAGACTTGTTGAGCTCCCGGTCTGAGATCTGTCGCTCTCTCGGCCAGACACAATTGCCTTCCATGTCTTCCCACTGAGCTCACTTGGTGTGACACCTTGACGAAAATAAATGGCTCTGTCATCACAGCCAATTCCCCAGACCTAGGGAAGGAAAGGGCTTGGTGAGGGAAATGGCTTGGAATGCAGTAGATACCAGTTACAAAAAAGGTGCAGTGGTGCAGAATTCAGCCCAAAAAAGCTGCTGGATGCAGCATTTTCCTTTTGTGTTCTTCCTTAATGCTGATACTGTAGATGCAGTACAAAATTCTGTACCATCAAGAGAGAACCGTGTGCACCTCCCTGTGCCATTCAAGACACATGCTGTTATCTCCTGGTGCAGAATTCAGCCACACTTTCCTCTCTAGCAGTTCAAGCCCGTGGACCTCTTGTTCAGCCAGCCCTACTGGCACTGCTGACAGTCCTTGCCACTTGTGAACAGTGCTTGTACAAAGGGGAAAGTAAATATCCCCACAGCTGGTATGCAGCTCTCTTACCTGGTTATTTAAGCCTACAGTTACCATCATCATTTCTCCAACCATTTCAATCCAGCTTGTCCCACAAGGATTATGTGAGTTCACTCCTCTTCTAAACCACACCTACAACAAAAACAGCAGAAAAGCCTAAATTTTGTTCCTTCTGCATTAGCAGGCAGATAGCTGGAATTTAGTTTCTTGAGTGGATTAATCTCTAATACTGACTTGCTGCATTGTCTTTAAAATTCAATTACTTCCTTGATTCTTTTTCTTTATCAGATAAAGATAAAGCAATTCTCTTAATAGTACCCACACTGTGTGTCCAACTACAGCCAGAAGAGCCCACTGGAAGATTTTTTGGTATGACTTTCTGTGACAGAGTTAGTTTCTCTGCTTTCTATTACATATCAACTGTAGGCTATTTTTGATCATTCTGAATGGCCTTCAGTGCTCCTGTGTTCAAACTCTAGAAGCAGAGCTGACAGAGGGAACTGTCAGAGGGATCTTCTTAGTGGTACAGCTCTTTAAATTATCTTCCCTTAGATCAGGTTTTACCAATCTGAGAGTATCTGTGGGTTGGGTACCTGAAAAAATTTCCCTCTATATGACAGTCATATAGTGACAATCAACTCCTTTAGAAGTTGTTGGTTGAATACAATAACATCAGTATACTTGATTGTCCTTTGGCAGATCTGGAGGAAAACACAGCAGCTTATCTCCATTTATGACAGTGGATTTCTGTGGCAGATGGAGCAGGCTGGGCACAGTCTGTTGCCATGGCTCAGCTGACAAGTAGTGACTCATTAAACCAGAGAAACTCAACACAACTGCGACACATGCACAGAGTTCATGCATGGTTTTGAATTCAGGAAGAAAGGATTTGATTGCAACCAGCACAAGAGCACTCTAATACTGGAGTGTTCCAGTATTCTTCACAACTTCCATGATTCCCTGCAAGGGGCAGGGACTTGGATTTGATGATACCTACAGGTCCTTTCCAAGCTGAGACTTTCTACAATTCTAAGTTAAAAGCCCAAGAGGAAAGTAGTCACACATCCACATAAAAGACACCTCACCTAACAAATACAAAAACCCCCTATGTTAAAAGGCTGATCAAGAGAGGACAGTCGCAGTAGGAAGATAAAAAAATAGCATCATGCAGGAAAGAGTAAATAACAATATTCCCCATGTTGCTTTTGATGTAATCTTCAAGCCATGTGGAAACAAGATTTAGCAGCAGGAGTCCCTTCCATTTCAATGCTTAAAATCCCCTAAAAGTAGACTCCTTATTACATCCCCACCAACATCCCTGCCCACCTGCCACATCTGTCTGACCTGGGTCTAGAAAATTCCTTCTAGGAGAAAACAGAAATTCTTCCTTATATTACACTCAATACATCCATCATGAACCACAGAGCATTCCCATAACATAGCAAGGGGAACTAGAATTCCCCAAACCATGAGGATAGAGAGTTTAAATCCCCAACACTTCCTGTGCAAGGACTCCTGTTTGAGAAAAGCAGACAGGAAAAGGGAAGAAAAAAGCAGAAGCAGATCATGATCCCTCTTACTTTTCTATCCTTTGTAACACACCACACCACATCAACACCCACAGAGACGTGCATAATCCCATTTTCAGAGCTTGGAGACTCCACAATACTCCAGGACAGTCCTGCATGAAACAAAACCCAGAAGGCATTGTAGGTTAGTTTCTTATTCACCACTATAAAAAGCAAAGGGGTTTCCAGCTAAATTTAACAAACTTTACCTTGAGGGTTATTCCTATCAATTCCTTCTCTCACAATAGCTTGCCCTTCCCAAAGAGTTGCCCAAAGGAGGTCATAGGGTCCACAGCTGATCTGTACAACTTCACCAGGAGTGGTGATTAAGGACCACGTGGAACCTTCTGGATTGTGGTGGCAGACATTTTCTCTGTACCATACCTAGACAAGTTTAAAAAAACCAGAGATGAATAAACCCAGGAAAAATATCACTATAACAATGAAACCATTGAGAGAAGCATAAAGACAAACTGGAAAGAACAGTCCTCCTTTAACAACGGGATGTTTTTACGTAGTGCATGGCACTCTGACCTTTAAAGGTACTTTCTTATGTTGATTATGCAGTTGAAGCAATTTCCTTATGTACTAAGGGAGGAGGCTGTTCTACAGAGCTGCTTTTATCATAGAATCGAATCTGGATTGGGTACAGAAACCTATTGCTACAAGTCCTGTGTATATTTTAACATTTAAACCACTTCAGTGTATTGCAGGGCATGTTATATAAACCAAGAATGAACAAATACATAACACAAAAATGTTTCTGTTGGCTGACAGCATGACCTCACTTTCACTGAACAGAACTTGCCACAATATGGGGAAAAATTTTCATTCTCTGTGCAGCCTTCAGTGACATCCAGCCTTTTGCTAGTCTTGGACTGTGCACTTCTCTATAGATCACAGTCAAAATAGGAAGGTCAAGCACAGAAAACATCCTGTGGTAGTGACATGAGCACTCCACAACATGACTGCTGAGTATTAAATCCTCATTTTTAGAAATACTTTATTTCTCTGGTGACTGTTACTTGGGAAATTAAAGCATTTTACAATGGCAGTCAAGTGAGCCTGTAGACTGGGATGCTTGTCACGTACTGCTGGAAAGTATGAGGCATAGGGAATTTTATTTTAAACAATTTAACCAAGATTGCTTGCCTCTCCAGGCAGTGCCAAGTGTGACTGAAAGCTCAGGCAATCTGTTAAAAATATTACAAACTGCCCTGTGAAACCACAAATTAGAAAATGTCTAGAGACAAAGCAATGTTGGATACATGCTCTAAGGATGAAGGAAGGAAAGCAAGAGTCAAATCTTTACAGCACTGAGCAAAAGAGGAGAGACATCTTATGGTAGGCCTAAAAACAACAACAACAACAAAGAAATATCTATAGTTTTCAATAGAAAACAAACTGAAAACATTTCAGAGTTGGGTACCACATTGCCAAGCCAGGAGGGAACCACTTTCTGATTAATAAGTCTCAGAAAACAATTTTGTAAACTCCTGAATCATTTCTGTGTCTCCACCACAGAGGCACAGCACAGTGCTTTGCAAGAATCTCTATCAGGTTTTGAGGCTCCTTTTCTTGGTTACCGGTGTCACAGTCAGCACTCTGGGCAGTTTTTCAGGATATAAGACATTACTCACTCCAAGTTTTAAGATTCACCTGTTCATAGAGGTTTAAGGCTTCCATAAAACAGCAACTCTATGAGATACTTAAGCCTTTCCATTTACAACACAAGTTGTTACATAATGTAGCCCCAAAGCAGCTTTTCATCCTCTGCCAGATGCACGAACGGCGTATTTCATTACCAACATAATAACAAACTTGCCTTCCTTTAAAAGTATTTAACTCCTTTCCATTAGTAATTTGTGTCAGAAACACAGGGAACACACACATACCCTTCCTTGTAAAGAAACTGCCCACACTGACAAGCGGCCGAGAGGCTCGTCGGTGATTTCCCACCCTCCGATGGAGATGTCATTGAAAGGGTCTGGCAGCTGCTCCGGATCATCATGTGACACGATCTGAAGCAAAGGGAAGGAAGATTGAGAAGAGGAGACACTGTACTGGTGGCCTAACTTTTGTCTTGCAGATTGGTTAACGTATCACTTCCTAAAGTGGCTGAGCATGGAGATTCTCCCTCTCGTTCAAGGCTGTTACAAGCAGAGAGAGGGGAAACGCTGCTGGAGCAGCACGAAGAAGGCTGTGTTTTGTACCCTACCTAAAGGAAATTTTTCCAGTGTATACAGAATTGGAAAGCTGAAACATCACAAATTACAATTTTTGTATGTTCTTAGAATGGAACAAAAATTATTAATGAACAGTTATTCATACAGACAAAGGACAGAGCTGGTGAAAGATGCCAGGCAGATGGCACCTCAAATGAGAGTGCCAGGCAGATGGCACCTCAAATGAGAGTGCTTTGTCAAGCAACCAAAGGAAGTTAAAAAGCTGGTCTGAAATTTGCAGTGGAGCTGAGCATCCATCTCCAATTGCATCACCATGAGATTTGGCACCTTATTACCACAGGTAATAATCCCAGCCTTCCATTTATGCTTACAAGAATAGCAAGCTGGAAGTCAAGGAATCCAGGTCCAGCCTACAGACAAGTAATAAAAAATCAATTTCCCCGCTCTTATAATTGATTATTTCAGAAAAACGGTTTATTTAGTATTTAAAAGGTCTCCAGAACCTTTGCCCAAACGTCCCGTGATTTGTATCTCCTGTATCTGATCCACCGCCTGCGCCGGACACAGGAATTCCATTTCTTATCCTTTGTGTAGGTGCTGGGGAAGTCTATGGCGTAAGTCCAGCCCTGCAAACAGAGGTTTTCTTGTATGAAATATGGGATCAAGGGAAAGCTTGAAATCATAACTCAGAGCAATTCTGCACGAGGGTCACAGTACAAGTTACTGTGTGTGTCTCAAGAGCCCTGGTTAACAGATCAGCTAATTCCATGGATGATTTATGAATCATCCCAAATTCCTCTGCATGATGCACACAGAACAAACAAGACACAGTAAAACATTTTGCTTGCTTTGTAGTAAAGATCTTAAATAACAATGGCATTCAGTTGCCAGCATTTCGTGGCCTGATCAAAAGAGAAAAGCTTCTAGGGAAGTTCCTATGGACTTCAAAAGCCTTCAAACAAGACCATTCCTTGTGTTGTATTAGAGTTGAGCTATTTCCCAGGAAGATGTATCTCTGGGAAGTTTTATTTTTACAGACCTTTTACACTTCTATAAAAGTGCCTTTTATTTTACAGACTAAGGATTCCCAGAATAGATCTCTTTTTGGTATTGTTCACCTACCCCTTTCTCTGTTGGTTCCCCTCCAATATTTTCATCCACATACCAGTCAGACTCCCACTCCCAGTGTGGAGAAGGCAGTGTGAAACTATCGAGCTGCTGATGTTTTAGCCCGCTCACATCACTCCACTGCCAGCGGTCACTGGGCAGTAATTTCTCACAAAAGCCACCAACTGGATTCCAGCGCTGCCAGAAATAATAAATAAAGGATTTTATTGGAGATCACATCATCTCATATTGGACATCTACAGGGAGTCATAAAAGACACATTTCTTATTTTCTGCAGTAGAAGAGGAATAAATTCCTGGGGTCCATGAGAAAGTGTTCCCTCTGTGAGCCCCTCCCTAACACTGTTTTTAGGAAGAGACTTTGAGACTTTGTTTAAGTCTCAAAGCAGGGCTGACTACAGAGCTGGTCCCAACCAAGTCCTCTTTGGCTACACAAATAGGAGCATCTCATGATATATATTACTCCTAACAGTGCTTTTTTCTTTGGTGATGTATGGCACCATGACACTCCTGCATTAGATGGCCTTGGGATTTCTAATCTACACTCTGGACAAAGATGATTAATATCTTGTCTGCACTAGAAAAGTAGCACTGCCTCTGCACCAGAAACTGTGTCAAAATAACTATATGAGCAAATCTCCCCTGTATCTTATGTTAAACTAGAGGGTTCTTTCCCCCTAATCTGGCTTGAATCAATAGCAGTACAAATAACACAAGGATTTTCACCAATACAGCTGTCATTTTTATTTTTCTCCCCACACTCCTACATACTATAGAAATACTGGCAAAATCTGTCATTTAATATTGTCTTACATTTTAGAGCACATGGAAAATGAGTGGCTCAAAATCCTTCTATAATTTTTACACAAAATATTATTTACTTTTACTAGGAATATGGCTAAGTTGCTTTGCACGTTATCTGTAAACTACTTGAGTTTAATTTTGTCCTTGTTAGCTCTTGTAGAATGTTTCCTTTTGTGCTTTCTAGTATTTTGTTTTCCATTTTTCATAGCCTAGAACAAACAAAACAAAAGTTTTAAAATAACAAATAAAATTTTAAGTTTTGCTTTTTTAAAGAACATGTTTACACAACAAAAGGAACCGTCTTAAATGGCTGAAAAGTTGTATCAATATTAAATAATGTATAAAATTAATTTGCTGTATTTTTACCCATGCAGATAAGTTAGTGTCTTTTCTCAATTTCTATTTATCCCATTGTCCATTAGAAATCAGAGAAATGTGCTCAAGAGAGAAAATGTGCTCAAGAAAATGTGCTTGGTTTCTCTCTCAACCTTTAGTTAACTTAAAAGAAATTGATAAATTTCCTTTAAATACTGTTTTAAAGACATTACTTTGAAGTACACCATACAGGGAGGATCATCTTAACACTTCTATGCAAAGAAGCTGGAAATGTACTTCAGTGGAAAGTCATGCCTTTATTAGAGAAGTGTTTGAAACACTAAACCCCAGCATTTTCTTAAGACTGATATAAGATATTGTATCTTTGATAAATAAAAAGACAATGTATCTTTGCTGCCTGGAAGTTCCAGTTCCACTGGGCATTTTCTTCAAGGAATTGAGTATTTGTCACTAAGGAAAGGAAACCACTCAGTGAAAAGGCTGAATGTTCCAGTCTGAAATGGCTCACACGGAACAAGCCATGGCTCACACTGGCATTGCTTTTGCTAAGAGCAGGGAGGTAAAACTCCTTTGGGAATTAAAATATTAAAAGAATAACCTGCTATTTGGCACAAATATACTCTTTGGAAACTTCAGGTAAAAAGTGGAAACAAAACAATCAATCTTCCTGTGAGAAAAGCATACCAAGACAGCTGAGGTAGGGGTTTGCCCTTTCTGCCAAGTGTGTGGTGGTACCATAACTTGTCATACCTGGTTCTCATAGGTTTCCTCCTGGTACCTAATAGGAACATCCCCTGAGAACACGTAGGTGTACACCTGGTGATCACAGGCTATTCCCCAGCAGCACTGTTTGACAGCAGACACCCGTTTGAATTCCAGCTGTGTGTCCTTACAGAGCTCCCAGTACTGGCCAACAGTAGACAGGGTGTAAACCCTCCCAAAAATGTCAACAGCCCACAAAAGGGAACTGGGCATGGCCATATCTGAAAGGCAAAAAGAAGGTATTAATGGAAATGATGTGTTTAAAAATGGATCTTGAACCTACTGCAGATCAGTCCTGCTTTGAGCCATCATCAGTCAAATTAAATAAAGATGTAGGGGATGATTTTTCAGAAGAGCCTGTGCAAAGCTGGCAGCCAGATCTCTTTGGCAGAGCTATGCAGTCACATCTCTTAGATAGCTCTGCAAAGCCACATGAAAGACCTTGCTACCAGCCCACTACTGTCCATCCTACAGGAGGTCACAACATGACTGGGACAGCTTTGGCAGGCTGGGGACAGAACTCAGCTCTAAACTGAGATAAGTAGCACAGACGATTTCATAGCAGGCAGCTCCACTCCCAAGATCTGGTGATGCTGATGGTGCTACACACCCTGTTCACCTCAGCTCCACAAAGCCCTGATATCCCACAGTACCTCCTTCTCAGCCTCCTTCGGTGTAAGCAACACACCTACACAGGTCTGAAGGCAGAGATGTGAAAGGGAGCTTCTCTGTAAGCACACATCTACTTTTAATCCATGGACATCTTGCCTACTGCTGCCAGGAAACCTCTTTCCAAGGCATTTTGTACCAGATCCAACCACTTTGGGATCTGATCTTTAATACTCATAGATGTGATATTTATGAATACTTATGGCTCCACAGCAGACACCTGGCTGAGTTCCATTCCAGTTCTATCACATAATAACCTGCCATTTTCTGGGCACTGCAGCCCTGCCCTTCAGGGAGGGGTCAGCCTTTTATGTGAGGACAGTCCTTTCAGAAGTCAAGACAGGCCAGGGTATTTCTGTCACTTGGCCTTCTGAGTGCCATCAAAACAGACAAATTCTGGTTGTTCTGTGTGTCTGACAGTCAGAACTACTGATGAGTATTTTGAACTTTGCCTTCAGTTCCTTTAACTATACAGTGGAGGACCAAGAGGGGAAAGGTAGAAAAAACAACTCAGATCCAACACAATGAAAGTAAAGAGGAATTCTTACTTGGAGTCAGTGGAACACTACTGCTTTGTTGTCAAATGGCAATTGTGCTTTCAACACAAGAGCCTAAGGAGGGTTGCCTGCCTGCTTTCTGACTGATAGAAGTGCTGGTACAGAGGGACTGACTTGTTCTGTGGATGTGAATGGCAGAGGTGAAACTGCAGAGAATCTGAACCAGCTGGGTCAGTGTCAAACAACAGCACAGTAAGTTCCCTTGGCATCCCAGGGGGAATGTTCCAGAATTCTTTGATTCCTAGGACTGCTTCTGCTAAGTACCTAAAAACCTGGATCCAACAGGTGAATAACAGGTAACAGTGAGAAGAAAATGTATAGTGGGAGAGAACCAGTGATGCCAGAGGAAGGTCACAAGCAAAATTCTCCTATTATTTGTAGCATAACTAAGAGAAATTCTCTAGTTTTGACCTTTTTTCCCTCGTTGCTGGGACTGTGAAGGCATGCATCTTTGTCTGCTCTTGGACTAGCCATTTACCTTCTTCATATCCTCCTGTAGGATAGTACAGGACATAATATGGAAAAATGGAATGGAACAAAGTGAGATAAGATGAAAATGATAGTGTATGCACCACTGGAAAAATAAAGGCCATGAAAATAAGTCTTTCAGTATTAGCACTTAAAATTCTGCAAAACAGTGTTTATAACAGAAGAAAATATTATGCATTTAATCTTAGGCAACCAGAATGCCAGCAAGTCTGGACTAAAGGAAGCACTGTGGATTATGCAACAATGATAACTATAGAGACAGGTAACAAGGAATAGTCTCTTAAAGGTGGGCAAATATATAAATGAAGGTCTGTACCTGGAATGACAGTCCAGGCAGGCAGAAAAGTACCTGGAATAGTTCAGAAAAAGGTTCAGAAAGTTCCAAAGATTATGGAGTTGGGAAACTACAGATGGGATAGAATTAAAATAATGCAGGCGGATGCAACTGGATTAAAATAATCAAGGCAGCCAAGACAAGTGAGAGTTTCTGCATATTCTTACATGTGAACTTTTGAAACAGAGTGTTTGGAGAATTATGGGAAAATCCCAAATGCCTTTGGGATTGTAAACTTCTAAGACTTCACTCTAGGCCCCTTTGCACTGGCTGTGCTGCAGAAGATGAAGACAGATGCTGCTCAATTTTGAAGGATGCTCAGTGCTTGTGGCTCACGTGCATTTCAATAAAGGCAGAAGTTGTCAAGTACTCTCAGGGGACTGGGAAAAAAAATCAGATCTGCTAAATTATTCCTCATCCCACAGCTCAGCCAGGTATTTCTGAGAGAACCAAAACTACTTAAGCGAACGTGATACATTGTTAATTAAAATTTCCGGTTGCCTGGCGTAACACTGATTGCTACAGAATTCGAGGAAAACATCCCAACTCCTTCCATATTATAAAAGCAATGAGAGGAGAAAGCAGGCGAGAGGGGCCGTGCCCCCGAGCTCAGGCCGTGGCGGGATGTGAACCACCACCAGCACAGGCTCCACCCTGTTCCAGGGCACAGCGGGCTCAGATTTCTCCCCGGTACCGCTCGAACTCCGCGGGCTCTGCCCCGGTACCCCCGCACAGCCACGGCCGCCGCTCCGCACCCGCGGGGCTCCCACCGCGCCCCTCAAACCCGACAAGGCGCAGACACCGCCCGGCAGCCCCGCACGGGCCCTCCCGGCCGGGCATTAAGGCCGGATCGGCTTAGGAGCCGTGCGGGGCTGTGGCGCCGCCTCCGCGGGGCCGGGGCGGGCGGGACCGGCCTCGGAGCGGCCCCGGGCCGGGCACAGCCCCCGCTCCCCGCTCGCTGCGGCAGGAGGCGGGCGCGGGGCTCCGGTGGCGACCCGAGAACGCCCCGCACGCCCCCCCCGGGGGGCTGCGCGGAGGCACCGACACCTCCCCAGGGCTCCGCCAGCGCTGGAGCCGCCGGGAAGGGCGGCGGGAGCTGCGCAGGGCGCGGCGGCGACGGCCCGACCTCCGCCCGCCCTGCCCTGCCCTGCCCTGCCCTGCCCTGCCCTGCCCGCCCCACCGCAGCACCGCCCGCCCCCCGGGCTCGCCCCTCACCTGCCTCTCCCGCCGCCGCTCCCGGCGGAAGGAGCCGCCGTGCCCCGTCCCCGTCAGGGCGGCCCCGCGGAGCCGCGGCCGGGCAGCGCCGCGCCCACAGCGGCCCCGAGCGCCGCCGCCATTGGCGCGGGCCCCGCGCGTCACGGCGGGAGCGGCGGGGGCGGCCCCGGGAGGCGGCTCCGGGTCCGCCGGGCCCTGGGGAACCACCGCGGCGGCTCCGGCTGAGAACTGCGGGGACGGGAACGCGGATGGGCGAGGGAGCGGAGCGTCTCTGACGAGGAAAGGCTGAGGGAGCTGGGCCTGGGCAGCCTATAGAGGAGGCGACTGAGGGGGGACCTTGTCCGCGTGTATAAATGTGTCCAGGGAAGGGCAGCGAGGCTGCTGAAGGGTCTGGGGCACAGTCCTGTGAGGAACGGCTGAGGGAGCTGGGGTTATTCAGCCTGGAGGAGGCTCAGGGGAGACCTTATGAAGTCTCCCTGACAGGAGGTTGTAGCCAGGTGGGGGTCCGTCTCTTCTCCCAGGCAACCATCAGCAAGACAAGAATAACTGGAAGTTACTTCCAGTGAACCAGGCCTCACTCACTCACCCTTGTTGGCTGGGGAGATTTCCCTCAGTTTTGCCCATAATTGTTGCTGTCTAAACACAACCTGCAGTTTCCCATGGCAAAGGCAGGGTTTGCCTTGAAAATGCAGTTAGGGGAGGTTTACCCTGTGACTGGGACATATCCTTGATCTAGGCAAGGCTAGAGCACTCAAAAATTAACTTAAATCTCTTGTTATTAGGAAAGACTTTGCTCTGTTCAAAGCATAGTCAGGATATTTTCAATCCTATTTCACTACTTTGCAGCCCTTATCCCAGCACAGTTGGAGGGGGTTTGTACAGACAGCTTCCTTACTGTCGGCTCTTCCACGCTCTTCCAAACCTCACTTCTTTGAAAGGGGGATTTTCCTTGTCACTTGACATTTATTTTAGGGAAGTATCTTTCCCCTGATGAGGAAGTACTGCATTGCATTTGTATTTAAGATTTTTCTCTGAACAACCTCATGTAATAGTTATACCACCACAGTTACAGTAAGAAAGAGAGTCCTCAGATTAGGCCCTTTCCAGATGGGTCACCTGCAAACTGGAAGGAGGAGACAGAAAGCAAGAGGGCAGGGACCCCCTCATCATCCTGTGATGCTGGTACTGGCTTGGATTTGGGGTGATGTGACCTGTGTTCCCATCTGTTTCAAGCATTTGTTTCATTTTGAGGCAAATTGTTTAATCACTTCTGGTTTTTATGGGTTTTTTATCCCCTTCCTGTGAAATGGGGCTAAGCCTTCCCTACCGGACAGGACACTATCTGGGGAAGGGAGTCACCAGTGTTTGCTGTGGTGATAAGGGCTGTTTGTACCTCTAGTGAAGGACAAACCCGTGATTTCCAAACCAAAAGATATGATGAGTCAGAGAGCCCAAGGGATGAAAGTGTGGAGGGAAGAACCCAAAGTTTTAACTGGAGGAAAAGACACTTAAGATCTTTACAGCATCTGGCCTGGGCTGTCCAACCATGGAGATCCTGGGTTTCAGAAGCAGCTGAGTGTGGTGAAAGTGCCATTGAACTCATTCCTCTAGTTCACTGTACGGGAGAAAGCAACATCCCCCTTGCTTTCCTCTTCCTCCTTGTAGTGTTTTTTCCTAACTTTGGTGTTTCTTTGAACCATGTGACTTTTCTCCTGCTTCTTCCTCAATCTCTTTTCCCTCTTTGTACGACATTCCTACTCTGTGCCACCACCCCCAGGGCTCTCCATTAACACCCAAGTGTAGCTCTTCCTGGTGCAGGTGGAAGAGTTTACAGAAGTCACCACAGATCACAGCACTATTCCTGCAGAATTTTGCTTTTTCCCTCAAATTGTGTGTTCCATGTAAATGTAAACACACAGAGAATCTATCTATATTGTGAGTATATATGCACACACATGGACACACTGACACTCCCTCAACCTTTGCAGCTTTCCCTCAACCCTTCCCAGAGCTCAGCTGAAGTCCCTTGGCTGCTGTTGGACTCAAAGTGGCTCTCAAAGTGGCTCTTGGGGTCTCCCCAGGCCGTGCTGCCCCTCCAGCTGCTGCCGACTGAACTGTTCGTGGGGACTGAGCAGGTAATGACCTCATCCTCACCCTCTTCAGGCCGCGGCTTCCAGCAGAGATTGCATTTCACAGAACCACGGAACGGGTCAGGTTGGAAGGGCCACAGTGAGTCGTCTGGTCCAACCACCCTGCTCCAGCAGGGTCATCCCCGAACACATGGCGCAGGATTGCAATTCGGGGAGAGGGCACGTGAAAGAACGCAGGGGCTGAGTGAGTGTGTTAAAAGCCCGTCATCTTCATGAAAGAACAGCGGGCCGGCCCCGGGCCGGGCATCAACCTGTCCACAGCCTGCGGGAGCCTCGCAGCGAGGGCAGCTCGTTCACGGCCCTGCTGAGCGGAGCAGAGCGTGCGGGGCTGTCAGTGGGGGCCGGGGATTGCCGGTGATGCTTAAAATCGGCTCTTAAAAGAAAACCCCTAAGACTCAATTTGTGAGTTTCAGAAGGCAGCATTCCTCTTATTACGACGTCGGACGTACGAGAATATTTCTTCAAAAGCGCGCGTTCCCTTATAGATTTTACGGCCGCGTCGGTGCGGGGCCGGGGGCCGTCAGTGCGGGGCTGTCGGTGCGGGGCTGGGGGCTGCCGGTACGGGGCTGTCGGTGCAGGGTTGGGGTCTGTCGGTGCGGAGCTGGGGCCGTCGGTGCGGGGCGCTGCGGGGCGCGGCCCCTTTAAGGCCGCGGGTTCCCTGCGCCGCCCGCCCGGCGGAGTCACCGCCCGGGGAGCGGCGGCGTCACGTGGGGCCGCGGCGGCCTCGTGACCGGGCGCGAGCGCAGCACCGGGGCCGCCGCTCCCGCCCCGCGCTCCCCGCGCGCTCCCCGCGCGCTCCCCGCGCGCTCCCGCCCCCCCTCCGCGCGGGCCCCTCACGCCGCCGCCGCCGCCCCCCCCACCCCTGAGCTCCGGCGCCCCCGGGCGGGGCGGGGCGGGCGGCGCCGCTTCCTCTGCCGGGCACCCCCCCCTCCCGTCCGCGGGGAACGAGGCAGCGCCGCCGGCCCAGCATGGACAGCAAGCCGCTGCTGCAGGAGCGGCCGCCCGCCTACAGCCCCGCCGCGCCGCCGGGCGCGCCGGGATACGACTACGGGCACGGCAACTACGGCGCCATCCCAGCCCCGCAGCCCGGCTTCCAGCCGCCCCCGCCGTACCCCTACCCGGGCGCCGCGCCCGCCGCAGGTGGGTCAGAGGAGGAGGCGGGGGAGGGCGGACTCAGGGGGCTTGGGGGGTCCCCGGGGTGCTCGCCCTTCGCTGGGCCAGGGGCCGGCTCTGCAGAGCCCTCTATGCCCCCGGGGGTGCCCCGCGGGCTCTGGAGCAACGCCGGGGAACTCCCGAGCGGCTCCCCCGGCACAGCGGGGCGCGGGGGGTGTCTCGGCTCTCCCGCTTGAAGCCGGCGCACAGGGAGGCGGGTGCGCAGCGATCCAGGTGTTTCCCAGCGCCATCTCCCTCTTCCCTCCTTCCCTCAGTGACCCCGAGGTTTGTGTTTGTGTTCTCTCCCCAAAATACCGGTGGGGTTTGGGAGCATCGCTCACATTGCGCGGGTTTTCTGCCTCGGAACAATGGCAGGGGCACAGCCGCCCTAAGACTAAAACAGACCCCAAACTTGGAGTTTTCTCTGCGTGCACTTCGCTGTACTCTGGTTAAGGTTTGTTTTTTGTTCCTGGTACATTTCAGTAGTCTTGGAGGGACTTCAGCAGGTGAATAGATGCAGTACTTCTGTTAGCTGAACTAACACCTCTCAAAGAAAGAAGTAGCCTCTCAGGAAAGAGGAATGCTTCAAAAGTTATAAAAATTACATAGCAGACACAGACCCCAGTCATCAAGCATGGGTTGAAGCTTGAGGCCGTGGATTGATTTTCCTCCTAATAAGTTGGAGCTTATTTTCCTACAATACAGGTCTTACTGATTATTTTCAGCTTTAGTAGTGAGGTTGCAGGACTTTACAGATGTGTAACTTGATTCAAGAAAATCAGAACTGTGCCCCGCGAAAGAAGCTCAAAATGGTTCATACTTGGGCAAAGTGTACTTTGGCTGTGTTGATTACAGCGCATACATCTAACCATCCCTTTAAAAAGCTTTCTTTTTTTTAATTTAAAGTTTTTAATGTTAATGCAGTAGTTGAAGGCCTGTGTCTTCTAACTACGACTGTTAACATGACTCATTCTCTGCCTAACAACATGGGCTTTCTGAAAGTTGGGGGGGATTTTATTGTGCTATGCATCCTGCTTCCTCTCTACTTGCATCCTATCACTCCTACCTCACCAGCTACAAACTGAGCATTGAAATTTAAGCTCGAAACTAGAGGAAGATACATCGTTTCGACTCCTTGTCCTCTGGAGTGGGCCATACTTGATACATAATATTCAGAAGTGAAAGCTGTGGTCATTGTTTAAACTGCTTTTTCCTGGCACTCAACAGCATTGAAACAAATTCTTGAAGTTAATGATTAGCTGGGTGTCCCTTTGAGATGGTTAAATTGTGCTGGATACTTGGGTTTATGGAGTGGTTTTACTATTAAATGTGCCAGGTGTTCCAGCTCTAATTTTGATAGAGCTTAAAGTGCTCAAGCAAAACTACATTTCTGTTTATTGTTTTCCGCATTTTGTTGTCATACTTTTTAATTATCGTTGTTCTTTGTGCCTTACCTGTGGTGATTGAGGTTTTTTTTCTTATTTTAGGGTATACTGTTCCTCCACCGACATCACAGCCCAACTATTCGAGCACGTACACCATTATTCAACAGCCTGCTACCACCACTTCTGTGGTAGTAGTTGGTGGCTGTCCTGCCTGCAGGTAAAATGGCTCTTGAGTTGAGACATAAACTCAGTCTTGGGTTTTTATTTTTTGAGTTAGAGGTATCCACATGGTTCCTTGGTTTTCAATAGTTTTTCTTTCTCTGTGTGTGTGTACTACAATAGAGTTAATTGAAAAGCCACCAAGATTTAGCAGTGGAGTGCTTTGGTTTATGTAGTATGAGCTTGTCCTGATGGGCTTGTGACAACTGCTATAAATAATACAAGACACTTTATATAAAACCACGAGTCTGTTCTTTATGATGGAAGAAGATCTGTAAGCAGTACTTTAAATGAAAAGACACTTCAGGAGCAGATGTAAAGGGTCAGTTCATGGGGGAGAGGATGACAGGAAGTCCCTTCTGATGTGTTTATGCCTGGTGATGGTGAGTAACATGACTTTATTGTGCAACTTTCTGTCATCTTTGACCATCGTCAGTTCTGGTTTTCTGGCAGTCTTGTGGAAGAACTTGTGGTGTGCGGCCCCATTCCCAACCTCCAGACTGTGCAAAGCCAGGCAGGGTAATTGTCAGTATATGCTGAGAACATCAGTGTCTTAAGGCTTTGAAAGATCTCTAAGAGTCCTTTGATTGCAAAAGAACAGGGAGCTTCATAGACCTGACTAGAAGTGCTAAAAACCAGAAGTAGTGGTCAGCTGTTGTTTAGAGTTGCAGCAAGAGAACAACTTCCCTCTGGGAGATCACAGCCATAAAAAAAGGAAGAAGACACCCAGTTTCCACGCTAGTGCTGTAAGTCAGCAGTAGTCCCTTTCACTTCTCAGTTCTCTTCCCAGGATATTAGGTCATGGGTGAGGGCAGAGGGATTTCTGCTGGTGCAGCTCAGGCACTGCTGTGCCAGCTCTGACTCAAATGCAGACTCCCTCCCTCTGTTAAAGTGTATGGGAGTTACCCTTGGGGCATCTGGCAAAGAGGCATTTGGTGTCCTGCAGGTCTGAGCCTTTGCTTTCCTTTCCAAACGTGTAGGAAACAGAGCTGCCTGAATAGCTGAAGTGATCCCAGACTGCAGTGTGACGAGTGTGGTCGTATGGCACAGGCTGTCCCCCAGCTGTCTTTTGGTTCTGTTGGAGTTGGTGTTTGAGAGTCAGTCCTTCCCTTCAAAGGTGCATTCGAGTCGGAAGTATCTTGTGGTGCTGTGTAAGAACAGGTGCCTGCTGAAATGCCACTAGTTCAGGCTGAAAAACCTGTACCAGCCAGAGCTATTGATCTAGAAGGTGTGTGTTTTAAACAGTGAGGGAAAGTAAGTGCTGAGCTGTTCAGAGGATGTGGTAGATCCTGCCACCTGAGTGATAACATTAACATGCTGATGCTGTAGCTCAGCCAGAAGACAGGACAGATGTTGTGTGCTGCTTGGTAAGAGGCAGGCAGTGTGTTATACAGGTCTTGTGGCCCTGAACCCAGTACAGCTCAAAACATTTTACTGTCGAATGGGTCTTTGCAGTAACTTCAGATTGGTAGGCTCTTGCTGCTATTCTTTTTTTTTTTTTACCCCTGGAAGTTATCCTGGGATAGTCTAGGAGAGACTTTTGAAACAATCATTTGCAAATATAATATAGAACTTCAGACGAATTTGGGAAAATGAGCTATCTGAATTGTTTTCTTAAGTCATTAGACCTGCTCTGCTGGAAGTACCCATTGTGCACTCTGTCCTACAGCAAAATATGCTCTACAAAACCTAGTTTACTCTCGGATCCTCAGTTTTTGTTTTAGGCTGTGGAAAAAAAAAGTTGCGAGGAGAACTCTGACATACTGATTACTGTGAGGCACAATACTGCACTGCTTAAACCGTAGTACCTGGGAAATACTCTGGATCAGGGAATCCTGAGGACGAGTAGCTGTATCTCGTAGTGGTGTGTCATAGTCTCCTTTGCAGTATTACAGTGTTTGTTCCTACTTGCCTTTAGAACAAGATTCAAGCGTCAAGGTAGGAGGGAAAAATCTCAAATTGCTTATCTTTTGAGTCATTATGGAACTGGTAGTCTGGTACTTCAAGAGAAAGGACAGGGAGGTTGGGTGGGAAACATAATATTGGAAATATTCATGGGAACCTGAAGGGTCAGGATTCACGTTCTGAAAGGTTATCCTGGCTGCTTCTCTTAGAAAAAGCACTCTTAATCCTCTTTGACTTGTCAAGACCTTAAACACAGTTCTAGTTCATTTCCTTGCCCTGGAAACCTATTTTATGAAGAAAGAGTGTAGCTGCACATTGCATTGAAAAAGATAAAAAGCTGTTAATGGTACACAGAAAACATAATTAATAAACTGCCTGGTCAGTTGTCATGTTACTTTTAAGGCCATCAAGAGGATTTCTGCCATCAGAAATATAAAGCAGTCTTTTGCACTACAGCATGTATTAATGTTGCTAGTTGAAATAAGAACCATTTCCCACTTAAAATATATGATGTTGAGGAGAAATACACAGTTATTTGGGTTGGTGTCTGCTTTATTGCAACCATAAGTGATCTTGGGATTAGTAAGCTGGCTAGAGCACTGTTGATCTTTAGGCTTTATTTATGGTATTCAGTAATAAAAGGTACATAAAAAGGACAAAGTATCTCCAGAAGTAACTCCCAAGTCAGTAGTATGCCTGTGGTAATTGCATTCTTTCCCTTCTCTCTCAAGCTTTCTTGCCATCTAAGGGGTGACTCTTGTCTTGCAAGCTGTACCTCTTGCTTAGAGCTATTTTTTAGTCAGATCATGCTCATTCCTCATTGGTCAGTGTTGCTTTCTAATTACAGACCTCAGTATTAATGTGTGTTCCATCCTTCCTTACATTATTAGAATGTTTTGGGTGGTTGTAGTCCTGTTGTCTCAGCGTTCTACTCCCAACCCTGATGTACAGAGAATTAAACTGAGTTGCAGAATCTTGTCAGCTTTGTTCTTCTAGTTGATGTCTAAGTATCAGCCAGGTCCTGCTTTTAAACTATTTCATGTTCCCAAGTACAGATTGAGTCATTACAGACACACTGACTTTAGAGGTCCAGCTGTGTAATTAATTGTCTTTTTAGCTTGGAGAATGCAGCCTGGCTGCTTCTCTTGGGCTCACTTTCATTTTCTCTTTCTCCATCTTCCGTTGTTGGGTAGAACTAACTGCACGGGAATGTTTGCTTTCCTGTTACTTAGCAGAAGAAAGATCCCTTTAAAAATTGTGAAAACATTCTCTTGATCTGATGGTTGCAAAAGCCAGTTTCTTCAAAATCTAGGAGAGATCTTATGATGGGCTCCACTGGATTTTTATTTTCCTATTTAATAATATTCTGTTGCTTGGGAGAAAGGGTGAGGGAAAGGACATCACGCTGCTGCATTGTGGCAGCTTTCACTTCTGACAAACACAGAACATCTGCTGGAGAAGCCCTGTAGTGGGTCCCAAGTTCTAACACTGAAGCTTCCTCTAGGTCTGGAAGATGAGACAAGTTTGATTAAAACTGTATTTATTCTCACATCTCTTAAAGCGTTCTCCCTGCTACAGTTTTTGTGGGTTTGTTTTTTTTTTTTTGGTTTTTTTTGTGGTTTTTTTTTGTTTTTTTTTTTTTTTTTGTTTGTTTGTTTGTTTTTTAATTTGGGCTTTTTTTGCTTGACTTGACAAAGCAGTAAGTTGTCAGGTTTTGGTTGAAATTTTGTTTTCTTCAATTAAATGCATGTCTCCTGAGGGAATAGACTCTGGGAAAAATTGCACTTAGCTGATCAGGTTCTTCAAAGTTTAATTTTTTTGCTTTTACTTCCATTATTTCAGTCACAAATGCTGTATAGGGTTTGATAAGAGGCTGCTCAGGATACAGGTTTTCTGTAGTTATTCACAACTACAATATTTAAACTTTATGTAAATATTCTTAATATAATTTCATAACCTGTACTGGTTAAATATGAAAAGAATTAAAAAAAGAAAAGGTACCACAGGTAGGTGTGTGCTGTGCCAGGGTATCCATCCCTGCTCTGCTGTGGTTTGGAGGCTGGAGCAGTTGGGGTGGGAAATACAGCACTGGCTCACACACGTGATTGTGAAGGACAGAGCCTTGATCCCGCAGAGCTGTTTGGAATTTCTGCCTAGGAGAGCTCTCACTTCCCCCCAGCCTGACAGCAGCTGCTTAGCAGGAGGTTTCTCCCTAAGCCCTGTGGAGAGGAGGGGTGAGCCTGTACCAGGGTCCCAGATGAGGACACCATAGCTCTGGCTGCTTCTGAGGAATTTTGTTCTACTGATGTGACCCAATTTGTGGACAATAATCAAAACGCACTTTTTTTGTGAGACTTTGTGATTAATAAGACACAGCAGGAATATATTCCCTAATGGGACTGTATAAAAATGATAGTGTGGTCCCTATTGCCCAGCCTGTCAGTGGGCCTGAGTTACAGCATGTATTTTTTTTATTAATGTCACCATTTGTGTTGGAGAATACTTGCCTGTATTGTGATAATTAGGATTTCTTTGTAGCAATGAGTTGTTCTGGGAGAGAGTAGGAAACTGGCCCTGTTTGTTGGTGACCAGAGGTGGTAGTGATGTGGCTGTGCATGCAGACTAGGGAGGAAAAGCCACACCAGGGCTCAGTCGAGCTCATCCTGAGAGACCTCCACTGTGAGGGAACTCTAACTGCTGTGCTGAGCCTTGTTTGTGAGGCTGGACACTGGTGTGAAGCCATGAGGCTTTTCTCCTAATTAGTGTGTTCTCAGAACTGGAATTAAAGCAGTGGTGCTCCTGCATTAGAGAAGGCTGGTGATTTGGAGGCATTTCAAGGAAGACAACAGTTAGACACAGGCTGTTCCCAGTGCCAGAACTGCTCTGGCTCTGCAGCCAGCCCTCTGTATGGGAAATGGGCCTAAAACTTAAGGAAATTCAGATAAATCTGCAAATGCTGTTGTGTCTCTTACTTGAAGGTGACTTTTAAGGATAATAGCATTTACATGTATGTACAGCTTGTGTTGAGGAGGGCAAACCATGTCTGTGTAGAGATTTGGGGTCCTTTCTGTGAATATGGATCAACAACCATTCAAGATGCCATCAGGCTGAGGCTGGAGGAGCTGACACCTCTCTTCTTTTAATGGAAATTAAAACTGTGAAGTATTGCTTACTCAGTAGTTGCACATATAATTGTCAATTCTTTTTCTTCTGTTGCTTGCAGGTGAGATTTAAGCCTATTTAACCTAGCTGCTGCTGTTGCATTGGCCAGGAGATTATAAAGAAAAGCTATCTGGTTTTGTTTGCATGTTCACAATTAAAGGTTTAGTGTGTAGCTTCCAAAGTCTCTGGTCTGATGTTCCTATTGAAATCTAAAGTTTGAAACTCAACCAACCTTAGTGGGAGGAGATGGGATACTGATTTGAAAATTCCAAGTGTAATCCACTGTGATGTAGTGATAAGTCTAAAAATGCTTGTGTTAAATCATACCAATGCTGTGTTCACAGATCTCATTATTGACCCTCTGATCCTGAGCATTTGACTTAAGATTTTAATGTTTTAAGACTTAATTTGAAAAAGAGAGTTGTCTGAAAACCAATTTGGTTTTAAATACTTGTCAGTGGGAATAATTGACCTTACTGTATGGAGTTGGCTGCTGCAGTTATAGCTTAAATGCAAGATACTGCTTGCAGTATAAATAAACCTTTCCACTTTATTTTTAGAGAGGGAGTGGTGCAGTTATAATCAGCTTTTATGTGGTTTATGCTGTAGAAGAAAATTTATATTTGGTTACATTAGTGAATCTACAGTTTGAATATGGAGTCTCTAATCACTCTGTAGCTCAGGTAAAAACTAAAATATTCATAGTTTCCCTGATAAAAAGTATTTTTTTCTCCTTTTAAATTTAGTAACTGGCTAAGCAGTGATTGGGTAAGTGTTCATCTAAAATTAGGTAGTGACACAAATCAACAGAAGCCAAGAAGAGTTTGTGTAGCTAATGCTGCAGTAGTAATGTCTCTGTTGTAGATGTGACAGGAACTGGCTCTGAAACAAGTATGTTGTGGGGGTCATGCAAGTACAGCTCTGATCAGCTTCCCAGTGAGTGTCCCTTGGAGCTGCCTTGGTGTGATCCTGGGCTGGGCTACCCCTGCTCTCGCTCCAGTGCTGACCCAGCAGTGCTGCCTATGCTTTGCTTTGTCCCTCCCTGGGCCTTTTCCCTGGATCTGGTGTTGAAGATGGGTGGCAATTTTTTTTATTTTTACTTGGCATTTTGCTTGACCACAAAACGCTTCTGAATAACTCTGTTTAGGGGGAAGGGAGTTTAAAATAAATTCTATTTTAAGTGTCAGGGGCATGTGCTGACCAATGGACTTGGGCCTTGCAAGCTGATTAAGAGGGTTCATTGGAATGGGTTAGGTCATGGTCATGGCTGCTCAGGGCTGACCAGAAGTACCCTGATTGATCCCCCTCTAGTGTTTAATTAGTGTGTTTATTCCGTAGGGTCACATCAATTGGCTGCTTATACCCTTAACTAGACACACTGGCTTACTTGTAACAAATGTAGGCTTCAGGGCAGGAACTGAATATGGAATTAAGAGACAAGGAAAAGATTTCAGAACAGTAGCAAACAATGCCTGCAGGAGGGGAATGCTCAATGTGTGTGAGAGGAAAAAATGGCATTGGTGTGACAGCAAAGCAAGGCAGGAAATACAACAGCTGTAACGTGCTGTGTCCTGCACTTAGTGAGCATTTCCAAAGGAGTGTTATTTGTGATGGCACTGAAATGCCTGGAAAAGGGGCTTTGCCTTTCTTGGATAGAGCTGTGTAGTAGGGAAAGCTGCTGAACCTTGAATTACTCAGAAGCATCCAGAGTGTGTCTGAGCCTCTGTACATATGTTGTGCTACTGGGTTAACCTGTGGGCGTTGGAAAAGGAGAGGCCTCACCTCCTAAGCTTCTGCTGCTGGTTTTTGTTTGGTCTGAGGGTGCTCAGCATTTTGTGCGTTTCCACAAGGACAAATGGCCAAATTCAGCTGCTGCATCCAGGCTGGACAGTTCTGGCTGAACGCTACAGGATCTTTTTTGCCCTGGCTCTCTCAACAGTCCTGAATCCCTCTGCATTCCAGCCCTAGCACCAGAGCCTTCCCAGGAGATGGCACTTCCAGTAGCACGTCTTTTCCCCAGCGAATGAAGGCGATGGTATGAGAGCCTTGTTTGCTGACTCCATTCTTTAATTGCAGTCTAATTTTGAGGGTCACTTGCAATGTAATTTTACAATTTAACTGTCCAGATACAGCCTAGGTAAAGAGGTTGTACAGCAAAGGAACTTTGCTAAAGCTTTCCTGTGAGCCTTAAGCTGTGCTACATAATCCCCATCATACCTAGTGATGTGCTCAGGTAGGCAGCTAGTGGGAAATCTCTGGAAGGTTTAATGTGAGGCTCTTCAGCTCTGCTTTAAAAGTCAGTCTAATAAAAGCATCTCCCCTTGGGTTAGTGTGCTCTGAACTTGACCTAGCAAGCAGATTTTGATGTGTCCTGGCACTGGTTAATGATATAATGACTGATTTGGGATTAGGAGTTGAGAGTTGGGTAGCAAGGTTAAGTTGATGGGAGCTACATTTTTTTTTCTTTCCTTTTGACTCTTATTAATCCACATTCTTTTTTTTTTTTTTTAATTAGGACGAAAGCTGTATACAGTGATCTGGATGAAGCATTAATATTCCATATTATGTGGGAAAAGTTTACTATGATGTTTGCCTGTTTTCTAGTAGTGACAGTGCGTGCTGTTCTGTTCCTAATTTTTCAGTAACTCCTTCCATGTTTCTTTCCCCAGCAGTTCTGTCCCTTCTGACTGGTTTCCCCACTGGTATTTCACTTTGGGGAATGCTCTGTGGTGAGAGGCAGGGAAGCAGGCACTGCTTCAATGGGCTGATGGGAATCCTGGGCTGAAGTTCTTGGTAGCAGAACACCAGGCCCAGCCTACAAAAGAAATATGGACCAAGCTGTGCAAATCCAGTGCCTGTGTTTTGTGAGTGCTGTTTGCTGAGGTGATGCAGGGCAAGTGCTGTGAGTCACTGACTCACACACACGCTGAGCCAAGGGGGAGTTTTGGCTTCCCAGCAAACTGGCCTGGGCTCCTCCATGTCCTCTGGGCAGCACTTTGCGCAGAGGCAGAGATGTGTTGTGTGCTGGGGGGACGTGGTGCCCTTCTCTCTGACCCTCACAGGCCCACTGCTCACGGAGCCAGCAGAGGTGTAAGGGCTGGTTGGTGACAAAGGGCCTACCCCATAGCTGGAGCTCTGGGACTGCCTGACTTGCAGGGAACAGAAGTGATGTTATGCTGAGTTTGTGGGAATAGCCACAATGACCAGCACAGACTGCACCACTGAGCTGTGGGACACCTGTGCACCAAGACTGGAGTCCATGTGGTGATTTGAGCATTAATCTAAATTTTTTAACTTGTTGTCTTAAAGGAGTGTTGTCTGAGGACATGAAAAGATAAAGCTACTGCTGGGATCAACGGTACCTGACAGTTCCTTTATACCAGATGCAGAGTTGACTCTTATCACAAGAATTCTGCGAACAGAAATAAAGTGCGTTAAAATGAGGGAAAGCTTAAGCTGAACATGAAGTTGCATAAGCAGCAGAACATCAAGAGCACTTTGAGAAGCCTTTGGCTTCTGCTGATGGTTGAGGGGAAGGTGAATGTTTCTGAAGTTTAATCAAGTTGCAGTGTTTCAACCAGTTGCTGTAAGGAAATGGTCTCTGAGCCCGTGTCTTCCTTCCTTCGCTCTATTTACACGTCCAATGGGTTGTCCGTGACTTCTCGGAGGGAAACAGCAGCTTGTTGGCCTTGGCACTTTGCTCATGGCCTGTACTTCAGGGTCACTCAGCTGTTTGTGTTGACTTTTCACTGTACCAGGGAATCTAAGAGGATACATCTTGTTGGAGTGTTTTGCTAAACTGCAAATTTTTTCTGTTTAGCAAAACTGCACAAATTTCTGAAGTCTGAATACTCTGGTTTTACTGTTTGTCTTCATTTTGGGGGATACTCAGATACAGCACTTCAGTTTCAGTCCCTGACTCCTTTCTAAATTTCTGCTGTTGATGCAACAGAATTTCTCATGTAAGTGGTCGTGGAGCTGGGACTCAGCTGAAGGCAGGTGACATCAGTAGTTGGTTTTCCTACAGTTCTAAAGGGACATCAGTTTTTGGAAGTAGAAACAAGGAACAAACCCCAAACTTTGTACTTTATCTTGCTCTGTAAAATGGTGTGGTTCTCAGTGACTGCCAAATCACAAAGTGGTAACTGGGGGCCAAACTTGGTGTTTGTCCTTGACTGAGTCTGTTTTCCCTTTTTGCAGGGTTGGCGTGTTGGAGGACACCTTCACCTGTCTTGGTGTTTTGTGTGCCATTGTATTCTTTCCAATTGGGATTCTGTTCTGCCTTGCACTGAGGCAGAGAAGATGCCCTAATTGTGGGGCAGCTTTTGGCTGAGGGGATGAACGTGGCCGGGCTTACGGAAGCTACAACTGTTAGCGTACTCTTTCTAATGTAAATGTCATGTACAATCATGTTATTTGCTTCAGACCTGTTTTGTAAAGTGTGAAGAAATTTAGTCTCTTGCATGTAATTTAAACTTAATCTTTTATGAGCATGTGCATTGCAAAACATGAAAACCTGACTTGTTTTCCATGTTTAGTGGCACCTGTTGAAAACTAAATAAAACTGCTTTTCCTTTTGCAATCCTCAACTTGTGGCTGGATTATTAAGTATGTGACTGATGTGTCTGATAACACATAGTCTGCAAGCAGAGTTAGTAATCCTAGCTACAACGAAGGACAAATATTTGCCAGAATCTTTATGCTGATGATAAACCATGGTTTAAGGCTGTACTTGTTTAGGACATCAGATATTTGAAGGAAGTTTTGCAACTGTACTACCACTAGACTAACAGCTCCTCTCTGAAGGCACAGGTAATAACACAGTCAGAGCCCTGCTTTAATTAGTGAAAGTTTTGCCTCATGCAGATGTGTTGGTTCACAGACAGCAGAACCTTCTGTCTGCAGCAGGGCCCTCCTCTCTAGAAAGAGGCCGGGGCACTGCCAACCATGAGCTGCCCTCAGTAAAAGTTTTTACGTGTTAGATATTTAATTCTGATACTGAATTATTGAAAGCTCATACAGTCTAGATTGACTTGCCTCTAATATGCTTTAGAAAATGGGCTCAGGTGTAAGTTACCCTTCTGAAAAGCCGGTGTTACAAACTGGGATGGTGGATATTTATGCAGGGCTCTCGCGGTGTCCTCGGCCTTGAACTTGAAAGGCAGCGTGAGAGGAGCCAGCACAAGCTCATATACTATTTTTTGATATTAAGTAACTGAAAGGCATTTCACATGACTTGAATTGACTGTTTATAGTAGTAGAAGTAAGCACCACAAAACGAATGATCCAGGGGATGCTGCAGGAAGCATGTACATATGTAAAACAGAGTGATTTGGAGTAAGGATTAATCACTGGCAGCAGTCACAATACAGACTTCATAGCAGTGGGAAGTATCCCCTGAGTTGTGCAGGGATGAAGCACCTGCTGCTGGTGCAGAGTTAGTTTCTAGCATTCTAAGCTAATTTCTGAGGTGATTGTTACTGTAGGAAAAGGCTTTTGGACAAACTGGCTCTGCTGGAGTTACCACACCTGAGTCTGAGGTAACAAACTGCTCAGCTCTGCTTGTGGCTGAAGTTAAAAGCTCAATTCCACTTAGCTACTGCACTGTGCCAGCATTCAGGCCTTTCTTTGCTCGGCTCCCTAACCAAAACTTTTCCAACTTAAGCTGTTTCTCTTTTGGGAAGGCTGCAGTAATGGAGGAACTTCAAAGGCAGCTTTTTATATTGGCACTTGAGAAAAAATTGTGGCACTGCTTTATTTTGACTTTTTATCAGACTAAAGTTTGACAACACGTTTTAAAGACAAAACTATCATTGAAGAATGTGTTAACAGTACAACATTAGACTGAAAATGGGGTTCTGTTAACACTTGAAAATTTGTATGTGAACATCAAGCAAAGCTTTACAAGTCGTCTATTCTTAAAGGATAAATATTTATTTATAACCTAAGGTATCTTTCTTACACAAAATAATGTATAATCATTTATACAGGTGATTCTCTATTCTGGAATAAGGCAGTTGTTACATTGTTCTGTTTGAAAAAAAAAAATAAAATCACTGTTATCTTCTTTAGTAGGTGGCATATGCAGGCTTATATTCTAGAACTTACCATTGCAGCTTCCAAATAATGAATGCCAAAGATTCAGATCTGTGAGCTATTACTTACACTGATTCACTAGAACATCCAAACTATCTCCAGCATTTTCACAAATCCTACTACAAAAAAAGGCATACTGTAAAATCAGCCCAGGTGCTCAAACACTAGCCCAAAGCAATTACCTCATTAGAAAGCAAAGGTTTTAACAAAACATCAGAGCTCCATTCCAGTATGCCAATATTGTACAGTAATTACATTTAAATAATTTTTTTAGAAGTTGAGATAGTAATTGTCATTACTGAACTGGTGTGTTGGTAAGGAAGAAGGTCGTGTGTCTGGGCCGTGTGTTCACCGGATAATCGGTGCTGATCTGTCGTTTGTTACTGTTGGTCTGAGCTTCACCGTTGCAAAGGGATTTTCTCCACTGAAAAGAAATGCATAAAGTTACTCATAGGCTTGCTGCAATCCAACCCCAAATTTAAATAATTCACCTTCTTCATAGAAGTTGTCTTCAAACAGTAAGTTTTGGTTTGAGATTAAAGGATTCTGTGCAACTCTTAGTTTAACTTGAATGAGTAAAACAAGGTTACATGTGTGGATTCACTTTGCAGTGATTCAAAATTTGGGAAGTTAATGCCCAGTTAGATCTGGACTTTTTTAAACAACTCCCACTCTTCAAAGATTTTTTTACTTTTAAACCTTAAAAGACAGTTAAGGAAGGTTGAGTCCTGCTCCCTGTCAAACTACTGGAGACCCACATTTTTCTGAGAAGGTCCTGTTCATCATACTTCACTTGAGGCCAACTCTTGGGAAAAGTGCAACAAATTTTATCCATAATGTTTTACCAGTGCCTGGGGAAGGTCCCAGAGAAATTAATGATAAACATCATTATTTTCCCTTACAAGAGATAAAATAATATAAGCTAATATAAAAATCAACACAAATAAATCAGTTTAAAAGTGTGAAAAATATACCTTAGAAAAGGTGGTTTTGTAATGCCATTCATGTTGGGTTTCTGTAAAAGAAAAAGATATTTACATAAGTTTATAAAGATATGCTACAGGTGCCCAAATCCTGCTAAGGAAAAGAGACCCTGTCATTCAAGTAGGCTAAAATATTTAGCCATTTAGAACAATTATTATGTGGTTCAGCTGAACTGAACAGGTTTCTCTCAGAACATCAAAGTTAGAAGGTTACAATGGTGCTGTGAAGTAAAGGTAACCCAAGAGGTGGCAGTGTGGCTCTGTCCCAGGCTGCTCCAGGATGCAGCATTTCGGGTGGGACAAAATGGAAAACTGTTGCCTTTGGCAAACCAGTTGTGCTATGGAGGAGTTTTGGCAAACAGCTAATTCCTACTTTCCCCCCCTCTCTTGCTTAATGATGTATTTTAAACTGGAAACTAATTACTTCTAATCAGTGTCAGATAAAGCTCAAAGTGAAAATTGGAATATACATTTTTGCACGTAGAAGCAGGAATATGCAGTCACCTTTTATGGAGCAACTTGACTTGTACCAATAATTTAGCCTGTATGGCCATTTTGGTTTTAATATTTTAAATTTCAGTGCTGAACCAAGGCCTAACAGCCTTTCCTTTCCAGGCACACTGGGTTGTACCAGCAGTTCCCAGTTACCATATTCGTGATACCACAATGCAGGTGAAGAAATCTCTATTTATTCAGGACCTCATTCAGCAGGGTTCTTAACTCACACTTGACTTGTAATTTCAATAAAACTGGTCATGTACATCAGTTGTAAATAGACTTAGACCGTGATTTAGGTCTAATTAGCCCTTAAAATTAATTAAAATGAACAAATGCCTGAATTACATCTTACTGAACACCAACCCTCATGAAAACTTTGTCAACTACTAAGTCTTTTTTTGTTAGTTGATCTAGTTCTGCATAGTACTGTCCTCTGCAGCACAGCACGAACAATGTAACTGGCTAGAACCATTCCTCATCTTCTTGAAATCCTGAGCTATTTTTTCTGTGCAGTCTGAAACAAAAATAAGATGCCTTGAATCATTTCCTGCTTCTGCACGGAAGGCACAGTGAGCAGACTGTTTTACACAGTATGTAAATCCTGTGTGAGTCTCCAAGCCAGCCTGGTACAATGTTGGGCTTATTTCCAAAGCCTTGTGAGGGAGTGGGGGTTTGAGACTTGCACGGAAGCAGGAAAGACAAGGAAGCTCTGCAACTTCCCAAAAGAATGAACATAAATAGTGACTTAGGAGCAAAAGACTTGGGTGCAAGTGCAGCAACTCCCCTCTACAGCTCTCGTGTTTTGTAAGGTAACAAGTAAGGTGGGGTCACAGTAAAAAGTTATGGGGTGTCTCAACAAAAGTGGTCATTATTTTATGCTCCAGAATCCCTAATTTATTTTAATCTTGCTTTCCATGTGGAAATTTACATTATCAAAAAAGATGTGTCTGTTTTCCACTCTTAGGAGTTAGCAGCTTCCATTATTTTATATATATTAGGGGTTTTTTTCCCTTCAGAATGATCTCTGCTTCAAGAGGCTTTTTGAAGAAAGTCTCAAAAACATTGCCCTTAGATACAGATCATCAAAATACTTAAATGAGCAGCAAGAAAAAACCTAGTAATTGTGTAATTTGATTAGATTAATTTTGAGTCAGTTTGAATGCTGACTTAATAGCAGAAATAATAGCATTGTGTAGCAGTATTTGTTCATAAAAAATGTATCTCCACTCAGCTGCATCTCTACTGAATAGACAGGAGTTAGCACAGGTCTCCCTCAGTGACAGCTGCAAACCCACCACCAACTTTTGTGGGGTTCCTGAATACAGAGTTCCCTGTGCCCCATAGCTCCAAAATCACTGAAGATGATGGATTTGTACTACTTTCTGTGAGAATTTCTTTTCATGTTTAACAGATTCCGTTGCTGAGAAGCTTTGCTATGCAGAATGTCTCTTACTACTGTCAGTCAATGTCCCTGAACAATTCTCCCTTCCTGTCAGGATGGATGGGTTGAAATGCCCAAACTCCTGATACTCCTGAGCACAGCTGTGTCACAGGGCTGAAGTGGAGCACAAGGTAGAGGATTTCAGGGCCTCATTTAAGAGCAAGTGAAGAGGGGTAAGCAGGGTGGAACATTTGGGTTCCCAGCACGGATCACTCACCGGCCCTGCCGGCTCCGCTCTGTCCGTCGGTGTTTTAGGAGCAGGACCTTTGGCAGACTCCGCCTGTGAAGCCCCCAGGTAGTCTGGTGGTGGGAGGACAACTTCACCTTTCTCCACAAGATTCACAGAACTAACACTTCGGATTGGTGCAGGGCTGCAAGACAGAACCCAACAAATGCTCAGTTCCTACAATACATCTCTCGCTTATCCCTAGCACCAGGAGAGCACAAAAGGGCATGAGCTGGAAGTGAGTAATGGTGTAAAATGCCCCTGAAGTCAGTGGGACTCTGAATTACAGCTGTTCCAAAGCTCGTTCTTGGGTCTTTGTGTAACCATTAAAAGACATTCATGTAATCAAGCCCTCCTACTGCAGATTGTTAGAGGTGTTACTGAACCTCAAAGAACATAAGCACAGAAATAACATTTCTAATAAATGTTTGGGCATTTCTGCAAGTGCCACCCAAAATGTTACCTTGGCACAGGGGCAAAGGCTTTGTCTTCTAATTCTTCTAGTGGTCTCGTGTACGACGATGGAAACCATCCTTTTCTGTAATGAGAAAGGTTTTTTATATTATATACATTGGAAAGATCTTTCAAAAGACAACTTGGACTAAACCATAGACTGAACAAACTGAGATTTAATTTCTGAAGACTCGATTTCGGATGATGCCAAATTAGTGTGCAAAACTTCCCTAAAGTAAGTGCATTGATTTTCCTTACAGAAAGCCTCCAAATCCCCCAGACAGCCAACAAAAAAGGTAGAAAACCACTTCCCATCTGCTAACAAAATCTGATGAAACTCGCTTTTCCTTCATGTTCCAGGTGGATAATATATTGATTATCTTACGCTCTGTTTGTGTCATGCTCCCCATAGAGCCAGCCATCCTTTTCCTCAGCTACCAGCAGTGTGATGATATCCCCCTGGGAAAAGCTGAGCAATGTCTTGTTGCTTCCAGCAGTATGTGGGAAGATTGTCTTCACTTTTTGCCTTTTCATTATATTTAGTCCCGTGGCAACAGAAGTTGAACGTGATAAACTGGCATCATCTGAATTCTCTGTCAAAAAAAAGGAACAAGAAGAAAAAAAAGAAATTAAAAGAAAAAATTAACCACACTAACAAAATTAAATGCAATTAGTAGTCTGACAGGAAAAAAACCAAAGGAATAATCAAGTGCAAATCAAGTTCTGAGACTTTGTACTTTCTACTTAGACACTTCTCAGTTACCTGCCAATGTTTCTTATCACCATGAAGTTCTTAACAGCACATGCATTTATATACACACACTCAGCATAATAAAGTTGAACCATCAGGCATAAAAAGTTCTGTAAGTTTTAACTGGCTACATTTTTCCCCTTTTGGCATGAAAAGTGCTAAACAATCACTGTTGTAAAAGAAAGGCCTTTGAAAATTTTCCATTATAAAAAGTAACTGTCTATAAAATTCAAGATTTCACTTTCAAATGTGCCTCACACTCAGCTTCAGCATCAAGGAGAGTTGCAGATACTTGGCACCCAGCAGATATTTAAACTAGATGTTTACTGAAGACAAAATAAAGGAGAGCTCAAAACTGTGCTATTTGGTTAGTACAATATATTGTAAATGCATTTTCAGGGAAGAAATGCTGGAATTGCTATTATCACATTTAGGAGTTCTTCATTTCTTATGCTGTGAGCTAGGCTTAGTTCTTTCCCTTCCCTATGTCAGAGATAGTAAAAAAATAAATATATTAGAAACTTGGAAAATAAATCTTAATAGGATTTTACATTTCAGGAAAGGAACAGAAGACTGTGCTCATTTTGTCCCTTGTGCAGTCCTCCCTTACTGCTAAGTGCCCTTAAAGGAACCCACAGTGGGACTGGCAGAGTGTTTATGTTGTTTTGTGCAGTGAAACAATCCCTCGGATGTATCCTGTTCAAAACTGCCGAGTGCCTTCTGCTGATAACACTGGAATTCATAAGAGCAGTTAAGTTGAGTTAATCAGTGACACACAGAAAGTGATTAAAATAGAATCTACCTACCTTGACCTGCATTTTACTGCAAACAATTCTCTTATAACACATCTCTCTGCTGTTATAAGAGGATCATAAATGCTTTGTAAAGACCGTTTCCTACTCCTCTACACATCCTGGAATTCACCTCATTGTAGCAGTGGAGAAGCCCTGAGGTAATTTTTAACGCTACTGCATGTCATTCACACTTACCCAGTTTGCAACAAAGGGACACTCACCTGCTGAATGATTTAGTTTCTCAGAAGGTGCTTTGGGAGCTGTGGCAGGATTGTTGAACATATCAACGAGTGGGCTCGTGTAGGCCCTGCCTGTGGGAGCTGGGGGCACGGTGGATGCATTTTCGTGATGAGGATAAAAATCATTTCCAATCTAAAGTCACAAAAACAAGAACATCAAAACACTGAGGAGACACAGCCATCACTTATTTGCAAGATTGAATTCTAGAGAGCAATGCTTAAATACTCCCAAATGATATATATTGAGACATGACATAAAGCCCACATGTTCCTATGGAATTGCTGATAGGTTTGTAAGAGGCTTCTGTCCCTTGATAAACACTTGTTAGTGGGAAGGCTATGATAACCTTTTTTTTCCCCCACAAATAGCATGATGATCTCCAGATTTTTCTTTTCTAGAAGTTCACTGTAATCATTTAGAAATTCAGCAACTAATGGTGACAGAACATACAAACAGAAATGAGAAATTCAACCTGTATCTAATAAGATAATAAGAATCAGGAAGGCAAGAAGGAAAGAAAATAGAAAATAACGTTTTGTTTAAGTCTATTTTGAGCTACTGAGTGTATAATTACTATTACTTACAGACAAGAATGTTGAAAATGGAATGGTTAGAACAAAAGTAGTCCTGAGGCTGGGCTTCTCCCTGCTGTACTGTGCATTTTTCCTGTAGCAGAGCTTCAGCTTAAGGATTTTGGTTCCATACCCAACCCAAGTATATTCCCACTGAGATGCATTATAGACTCCATCCCAAATGTTTAGTTGGAGAAACAAAACCTAGTGAAGCCCCTCCACTCCCATCAGAGAACAACATACCATGGTATTTCTCTCTACCATAGGTGAAGGCTGCGGCGTTCCCGAGACTGGAGTGGATCCAGGTGTCCTTATTTCATCTATCATCATTCTGACTTTTTCAGGCACTTTGGTGGCATCACTGCAGGTTTCCTGCCACCCAGGCAGCTTGGATTTTAGGAAGTCTGCACACTGCATCCAAGTTAAAAGGTACTTGTCAGAGATATGCTTTTTCATAAAATTGCACAGACCTACTGGCTAACTTTCATTACACCAAACTGGTAACACCAGCAACATGGAAGTATTTTATAGGATTTTTCTAAGCCATACCTCTTTGAAACAAATAATATGTTATAAAAAGGGACTCTCCTTTTGCAGGGTCAGATACCGGATTTAAAAAGTCACAACAACCCTTGATTTTTGCTATAACACATTTCATAGAATAGTGTATTGTAAACATTTTCTATGAACTGACCACGACACTTGTCTGGCAGTTCAGTGTTCCCTGGATATTTCTGGCAGTGTGATCTGTGTCCTGCAGGAGATACTGAAGATCTCCTCTAGGACTGGATTTCAGGAATTTCATTTCTGTTCACTGACCTGGACATGGTAGAAGTGCATGTGCTGGGTGAAGCTGCAGTGCTTGTCAACCAGGAAACAGAACCTTCTTTTCTCTTCAAGGAGAGCTTCTCTGCAGCCTTCTGCAATGAACCGCTGGATATCGCTCTGGCGAGAGCTCACCGTTTCCAAATACTGAGGAAAAAAGGAAAGACAAAATTCACACAGAGCCTCTGAATTTTATTTGACACTATATCCAATTACTGAAGTAAACTCCAAAAGCCTTAGAAATAGCTTTTGGAAAGGTGAAGTCTGTGGCTCTGCTTCCAAGCCCTTCTCTTCTCCTGCACACACCTGACTTCCCTGAGCCCATCAGGTAAAGGTGTATTGTCCCTACAGGCATCAACAGCTTATTTAGGGGCTGGGGGGGGGGGAAGTGAAGCAAAACAAGAAAGTCTTTTAGCCTCTAAATAAAACTCTGCAGTAGATAAGAACCTGGCATCAAAGCAGTGTCTGTGCTGAGCAATTGTACAGCCACAGGTGTCTAATTAGACTAATTACCTTGTCTGCTCCACAGTAGTTCCTTTACTCACACAAAGCTCTGAGGAATCTCTACTTCATTTAAGGGGGGGAAGTGAATGAACTAAAAAGGCTCAACTATATTTATCTGAGGTTACGAGGATTCATGGCTAAACTGTGATTAAATGCTAATCCTTGAACTCTCAGACCCAGAGCCAGAACTTTAAAAAAACAAACCTGTTATGAATGCAGGTTAAAAGATAGGCGTTAAGAAATAGGAGCTCCTACCATCTACATTTACTGTACTGAGTTATAAACAAAGCTTTAATTGAATTTTAAAATAGAAAAATATGGAAAAAAATTATAAGCTAGCACGAAGTACAAGTATTGTGCAAATAAAAGTATCAATGGCAAGTATTTTCAGAATTCTCTCAACCAGAATATGAGTCCCTAATTTTAAAATAGTTTCTCTTCAGTGCCCTGCCATTTCAGATTTCTCCTCAAGATGGCAATGCTGGATTAAAGGCAGTAGGAAAGGCAGTAACTGATAACACAGGTTGACATTGCCTACTTTGGGAAATAAATTTATAGCAAATTATTACTGAATTTGCATATCTTAGCTGACTCCCTGTGTAAAACTCTGCATGAAGGTGTAGCTGCAAAGGTACTTAAAAACAAACAAAAAAAATCAATTGACCCAGTTGTCAAGGGATGAAATCTAGAAACTAGAGCAGAAGTCTCTGAACATGCACAGTGGAGCAGTGAGAACTCAATTTCAGCTGGAATACGTCCTCTAGGAGTGCCTTTAATACAAACCAACTTTCAGGAATCATTAACATTTTCTGTTGACCAGTTCTCATACAAAGGAAGAAACAAATAAGAGACAGTGCACTGACCTCCATTTCTTTATGCTCATATTTTGTTACATTTCGTGCTCCTTGGCTTTTCCTTCTGATTTTTTTCAGCTCAGCCTGAGACTTCTCTAAAGAATCCAGTTTGCTCCTGTGTTCGGTTTGGTACCTCTTTAGAGTTGCCTGCAACCAAAGCATTTACAACAGCTGTAATGCCCTCAGCCCTGGAGCTGGGTAAGTGACTGAGGCACTTCTGCCATCCCTGAGATCTCTCACACCCACCAAATGAGTTCAACAGTTGCTTTCGTTTTAAGGACCTGTGAAGTCATAAAATTGATTCCCTTTTTAACTTAAATTAAGCATGAAAATTTTGGCCATCTTTATGTATCATTTCTAGCCTATTGATTAATTAATTCTTTGGGAACAATTTCTGAAAAAGTTCTTTGACTAGCAATAGACAAATAAAATAAGAGTTTTAGAATTGAATGTATACTTACAGTCATGTATTTCACATCCAGGTCTGTTTTCTTCTCCAGTTCAGATATAATTTCTTTATGAAATTTTTTGAACTTTAAAAACAAATGAATGAAGATTTATTAAAAATTGGCAAAAGCAATTTATAATTTCACAAGGAAAATGAATTTTAAAAAGTCATTTAACTTACACTCTCCTCTAGACTGTCATTAAGTTTCTTGTGTGTTCTTGAGATTTCTACCAGAACTTGGCCTGTTGATAAACATACAACCATATTGGTTTCTTTCATAGAGTTCTGAAGTTAGTTAACAAAGAGCAGTAATAAAATACATTTACCTAATATATTCATTAACTAGACTCTATTTAAGAGGGATAGGAAATTTCTTGCTGTTGCTCACCACAGCAGTTTAAATAAATCACTCTGGCCACAGACAAACCAAGCAGCTCCTAAGTGATAGAGGAATAACTAATCATGCATTGTTATGCAAAACCGGCATGGAGTGCCAGACAAAATAAATACTTCCTTCTCTCCAGAATAGCTCCTGTTGGTTTAGTAACAGCTTCTTTTCTTGCCAAGTCAGAGAATAGCACGGGAGTTGTTACTGTACAAGTAGCTGCTCTCCCTTTCTTAGGCTGAAAATTAAACGTTGATGTTTATTAAGTAACAGCACCTTCAGAATCAACAAAGTAACCTTTCCCTTCCCTCACAGCACACCTGCTAAAACAGAGGTGATGCACAAAGTGTTGACTTCCCCCATTTTATCAGCGGTTGTGGCCCAACTGTACAGCATTAACGAAGGGCCAGGACAGAGCAGATTTCTCAGCATCCTCTCAACAGATCCTGAGTATGCCAGCTCTGCTCTGCTGTCTTCCAGCACAAACTTAACCAGCTTACTCTGAACCGTGAGCAGTTAAAAGCTGAACTGGTTCATTTTACTTCAGGAGGATATAGAGGAAAAATCCCTCAGTCTTTGGGTGTGGTTCTGTGCACAAACCATCGTAAACTGCGGTGCAGCCCTGCATGCAGCCACATCACCCTGCCTGGGGCACATGGCCACATCATCCCCACTCCCTTCCTTGTTGGGGCACTGACACACGGAGTGTGTGCCAGCCTGGTCTAGGAGATTGCAACACACTGCTGAGGAGTTAGAAGGGCCCTGAAGTGAAGTTTGTCTTCACCCAAATCAGACAACTGTTACCAGCTCCCAGCCAGGAGCCGTTACAAAAACTGGAAGTGCCAGGGCCACAAGGAGAATCCCAAACTGGGCTGCATCTGAAAGTCTTGACTGGAGATGTGTTTTCCTGGCATTCCATTTCCACAGCAAGACCAGCAGGTTCAGTTCCACAGCTGGTTCCCTGGCACGCCTCCTCCAGTAATCCCTCTATCCCTCAATCAGCCTCGCAGGTGCCCCACCTGTATTTGCCACACAGGTGCCTGCAGTATTTAAGCTGCAGTCGTGCTGTCCTAGTGCACAAGCAGGGCTACAGAGCAACCCACAGCTCTGAAACTCCTGCACATGGCTGGCAGTCACTGCACGGGACTCTGTGTCCCTCCTATTTGTTATTTTACACAATTCCAGTTTAGTTTCTTGAGTTAAAAAAGAGAGGATGCATTAACTGCATGCTGCTGCACAAATCTTGTTTTCTACCATCCATAGTCTTTGAGAAGCCCTGAGTTAGCAAAGACTTATCATCCCATAATGCTCAGAAAAGCTCCCAAAAGATTAAAAAATTTGGCTTGATAAAATGAATGACAGACCTCTTCATGAGAACCTTCTCATCTTCTCCTTTCTCATCTCCACAAACATCCAAACTTGTCTCCCCACAGTGCAGGTTGGTGATTTGGTAACCTCCCCACATAAGGCAGAATCATTCCTATAGTGCCTGAGTATGTTACCACCTTTCTCCCATTCTCAAGTTACACCACCTCAAGATTTTAGTTTCTTTGAAATGAGAACCCTATCTCCTGTGTATGACACAGCAGATATTTAACTGAATAATGCAAAATGTGGATCTGCATTATTGTTTATGGGGAAGCATGAAGTGGTTCAGGAAGAAACACAGATCTGAATTTTCAGGAATCTCTCTTTGCATAGCAGACTACAGAAGACTTAGAAGAAAGAATCAGAACACAATGATATCAGACAACCCCTTGACTAGCAAGAAAAAGGAATTTGCACACAGGATGGGAGATGGCAGAGACAGAGGGGTGCTGTATCTTTTTAAAAATACGTATAGTTTCTCTGGGTCCTTTTGTCCAGCCAACAGAGTGCTATGCTTTTTTTGTTCCTATTTAAAGTTGTGGTGACTACAGAAATATAAATACTATAAGAAGAGAGAGATGCTATAGTAATTAGTTGCTCATATGCAATAGAAAAGTAAATACAATGTGGTTACACAAACACGTGAAGTAACAGACCTGAGCTGTGTTATTTTAAGGCTATAGAAGTGAATACACTTTAGTCCATAGTGTTTGTTTCACCAACTCAAATGAAATGACACATTTTAGAATCTAAAGAGCTTTTAAAGTTAGAAGAGTTTTGTAAACGCTTATCTACAACTTAAAAAGGAAAATGTTGTTACAAGAAAGCAGGAAATATAATCAAGAAATACAAATAAAATTACAAAGTTCGTGTGGTTTTACATATGCAGACTAGAAAGCTATTTGGGAAGCTACAGAAATTCCGGGTGAGAGTAGAAATGGCCCTCAAAATAATTACTCTTATAGATTTTTGTACTTCTAAAATGAACTTATTCTGAGCCAAAGCAGAGCACTGAGCTAATCCTTGGCAACGCCAGCGCAGCCACCGCGGGCGTTCCGGGCGGGGACAGACATCCAACAACGTCGGGTATTGACTCAGCTCTGCGTGCCTCCCTCCCTCCCTCTCCCCTCCCTCTTCCCTCTCTCCTGCCCTGCCCCTGCTCCATAAAACCCCCATTCACCTGGGGCGGCCGCGCTGGAAAACCTGACGCGCACAGGGGTTATTTTTGTCTCCTGAACTGACTGCAGCCTTCAAGTCTTTCGGCTTTGACTGCTTGGGTAGAAACAGGTTTGTTTTTTTTTTCGTCTCAGTTACAAAAAATACTGCCAAAACATGTCCTGAGGAGAACTTTAGAAACTACACTTCCTTCTGAATGGTTTGTGCTGGATTATTTTAGGGGTTTATTTTAGAGTGTTCTAGAACACTTTTAAACAGCGTGTTTGGATGACACTGACTGTCTCTCTCTCTAATTGCATTTTCTTTTTCTCTCAACCAAAGACTCCCTGTACTGTGTATCAGAAAACCCACTTTATGCTGAGATCTCCTCCCTGCTACTGGGAATCCACAGGCACTCCATGTACTGGCTACCCCATTTAATTAATTTCCTCTTTCAAAATGTTGATTCAAAATGTGAAAAGAACCCGCAGTGAGCATGCTCTGACCTATTAAAATTTAAATTATACATCAGATTCTGCAGTTTGAATAAATAGAGAGCATTTTTACAGTGAACATATACCATGGTTCTTTATTGCCAGTTTAAGGTAATGGGTTAGCCACATTTTGATGGCCCTTCCAAATAAAATTTATAGAAGGAGGCAAGTTTTTGTAGAAGACTAAGTCAGGAAAGACAAAACAACCCCTATTCTACATGTAACAGTGTCCAAGTAGAATGGAAATTGAACAACTTCAGTATAATATTTGAATTTTAATTACCATGGTGAATTATAGAATAGCTTTAAGAAAGATGACAGGTTACTCTGGATTAATAGCAGCATAACCTAAGGCCAGGCCCTAATGTTCAGTCTTTATTCCTCTTGCAGAAAGGTACAGAAAAATACTCAAGGTGAAGACAAACATGTATTTCTTACATCAATTAAAACTATGTTGCTATATATTAAAGCTGCTCATGAGCAGGTTTATATATGAGAGCTCATAATACACAATAACCAAGTGTTAACCTTGTCATCAGTTATTGGCAAACCCCAAACCTATCAAACACAATGACACGACCAGAGCACACGATAACAGGCCACTTAAGTCCAATTTGTGGCAGCCCTACTGTAAACTTGAACCAGTTTTAGGCATCATATTATGCAATGAGTCACTAAACCCAAACCACTGGTCTTGATGAAAAACATAACTATTAAAATACTTGCCTTTCAAAGATAGTTTTTTTCTGCTTTCCATCTTCCCACACTCTGAACATGAAATCTTTGTGACTAAAAAAACGCAGCCGACATTAAATATTCCCACTTTGTTTCAGAAAACAAAAAAGTAGCTGTACATGTTCACAGATACTTGTTCTGATCTTTTGCTATTACCTTAGAGGTAGGGAAGAAAAGCAACAACCTCTTTCAGAAAGGGATTTTGGGGGTACATCTCAAACACCTTAATGACTTAAAAATAAACCAGACATTTCTCATATATAGCTTTGAAACTATGCTGTGAAATACAGCTATAACCTGATATATGACCATGAACAGGAATGCCAAGTTCCATGGTTAATTTATTTCTTTCAAATAGGTTCAGTGCACAAGTAGAAAGATCTTTTAAGCTGAAACTTCAGGAATTTGTGGAATATTTTTAGGCTTAATCAGGGTTGTCAGTTGTATCTGTATTTTCTCTTCAGAAAATAAGACACACTGGAATTTCATTAATGGTGCTGGGTTTGTTACAAAAAGAAATCAAAAAATCACTAGCCCAAAGGGTGTAACAGTTATTTCTCCACAACTGTTACTCTCTCTCAGCAGCCCTTGAACAAGAAGACAGCCTTGAAAGTCTGTCTTCACAGGAGATGAAAATCAAGGAAAGCAGTTCCTAACAGAAAAACTCATTGTAAGGCCAGAACTTGTGCAGCAGTTACACTTCAACCTCACTGTTTGCACTGGCTGATTGTTCAGGTTATTTACCTTTTCACCTTATGTTGACTGTTCTTGTGAATAGAAGACTAGAAGAATTCGTTCAAGTTAGAAACAAAAATGGAACTCAATCAATAGAGTTCTGTCATAGAAACAAGTATCAACAGCTACCAACAAAATCACTTAACCTTTTAAAATACTAAATAGCTGTATAAAAAAAATCAATAAAAGTAGTAATTGCATCATCTTACTTGAAATATACTTCAAATTTGTTTTATTTAGAGAAGGTTGCTCTTGAAAAATTTCAAGCCTCTTAATAGAGAGACTTTCTTAGATGCCTGGGAACAGACAAAGTACTTAATTATATCACTCATTTACCTCCTGTTGTCCTATTTTGTATTCAGGGCAGGTCGAGTAACTTTGTGTCTTAGAGACAAAGCCACATAATTATTTACATTAAACAAGAGAATGAAAGGCTGAGTCAAACCTACACATGGAGACAATATAGTCCGAGTGCAATATTAGATGCCATTGCTGGCAAGATGCTCTTTTCTCCAACTAATCCTTTGCCCAGAAGAAAGGCATTTATGACACAGGAAAGTCAGAAACACAGTCCTTTGAAGCCAGCAGCCCCTGGAAGGTAGTAAAATAGGAAGCTTCAAAGAAATACAGTATAACAAATAAATATGATTGAACAAAACATCTGTTCAGCTTCAAATGTGTTAAATTTATCCTTCTGTCATAGGAAGGATTGAATTGGGCAACAGATGCTTTAAAGAAGGCTAAAATTTTTAATGGAATTTAACGTGAAAGAATAAAATCACAATGAAGGACAAAGTCATGTAAAACTTCCCCAGCTCTAACTGCACTTTGCTTCTAATACAATTTGTCCAGAATGCTTTAACACACTCCCCTCCTTCTGTAGAATTAACAGTAATATGCACATAAATCAGTAGGACTAGGTCAAGTCTGCCTTTCCTTACTGCATGAGCGACCATGGAATAGGAAGCAAGGAGTAAATCTCCCTGTAGTTCATTTTACAAAATGGCACTGACACATGACCATTCAGTGCCAGTTGGTGAAGGTGACTGCAGAGGTGAAGGGGAAGAGAAAAAAAAAGAATAAAGCCTAAAATCGAGAAAAGGGGAAGAGATTTCAGACTATAGCGAAGTATTTTAAGGCCAGTCTACATGGTAGCTAGAACTGTAGCAGCTAGAACTGTACATAAATAAATAAATAAAATCTGTAAATAAAAATAGAAGCAAGGAGAACTTCACATTCTAAACAGCATTCTGAGATCAATTTTAATTTTAAAATATGCAGAATTCTCAATGTGAACAACAGAAACGTTTTGGCGATATAAGAAGCAAATAAGTTAATGAATTTAAAGCAGATTAAACACAAGTTAAGAGAAATGAAAAAACCCTCCATGACACAATGGCTGAAATTTGTGTATTCGTATACCAGTCCAGTAAAATAAAATCCCCAAAGTGATGTGATTCTGAACCACGAGGAATGAAACTGAACATTATGATATTACTGCACATGTAAAAAAAGCATAATTTCTCATATAAAGTTAATACACAATATTTCAAGTAATTATCTGAAACTCACTGAATGCTCAGAGTTAAGAAGTTTCAATTTCCTCATAGCTCAGTTTTAATTGTTTTTTCACAAGTTTAATTACTTCTAAATATTAAAATCTTTTTAGTCTCATTGATACAGAAGAGATAAACAGTCCTGGATGATGCCCAAGTCTAAGTAGTCTAAGTATCTTGCCTCATGTCCAGACAAACCCAGTAAGCAATAAATAGGATTGTACAGGACACTGTTGCTAATTTTGTGAGTTGGGCACTGATGGTGTTGGGTCTGATGAACCCAGGGCTCTACTTGCCCCTTCTCACAGGACTTCACTGCTGTGTTCCTCCTTTGGCTTCATAGGGAAAAATGGATTCTAGCCCATGCAGAGTTTTTATGCCTTTGACCACAGTCCAAACTTCATCTGCTTGAATGAATAAAAAAACCTCAACCAAAAAACCCCCAAACTGTGGCCTCTGTTTTTATCCAGTCATTGGCAATTCTTCTCGATCACCTCCCCATCATTAGGCTGCACATTGCCCTCAGCATGAGAAATAGAATCAAAGAATCCTGTTATTCAAAAATCCTTTTCCCATTTCATAATTCGACAAACAGTGAAGGGATAGAGCACAGCTCATTCCTACTTCACTAGCCAAGCACCTCTTAAAACAGCATTTCCTTCTGCAATCCAGGATCACGACTATATAGTCATCTTTTTGTTGTCCTAAAACTTTGTTGACCATGTGGAAGAAAATATCATAGGACCACATAATGAAGTACTTTCCCAGTACATGAGACAGAATTTAAATTCCCTGAATTAAAATTATGATTTTTCTTTAAAACTTCGGAATGTTTAGATATTAAGAGACAAAATACTCCTCAGCTCCTTTATACCTTAAAAAGTCCAGAACTGCTTATAAGCCATAATCAGTCAAACCCAGGGATAAACTTGCATTTTAAACATACCTTACTAAGACTAAAATTAATGCCAAATTCTTTCAGCTTGACAGAAGTGATTTTAAGAAGTACTGCACAATTTATACCGTGCACTACCTGCTATAAATTGGGCAATGAACTTCTCATCCATTAGCTATTCCCACATAAGCCTTGACAAGAGTGAATACTTATGAGATTATCAAGATCATTACAATTGCCTGTTACTCCAAATTTATTCTTGGTGTGATGCTCCTATTTTTGGATTTTAAATGGAACAAACACATTAGCTTACATTGTATTTTAAAGAGGAATGTGACTTTATTGCAGATTTAGCAAAGTTTAGTCTGCAGTCTACTTTGCCTTTCTCTCCCAAGCCCTTTTGATGTCTTAGTCAAAAATATTCAGAGATTAGAATTTTTTTAAACCTACTAATATCACTGAACAGATGTTAATTAACATGAAATATTCATCTTTTTTCAGATGATTGCTAAGCACAGAGACTAAATTTTAATGCTAAAAAAAGGAAAGGAAAAGCATATGCTGTATAAATAATGCATGAAAAAGGACAAACTTGTTTTTCCACCTGTTACTCCATTACTAATATATATGAAGACTGCTGCAGGCAGTTGTTTTTTGTTTTTTTTTTCCCCAAATGTAGAAACCCACAATATATCAAGGTTTGTATGTCAGCAGCTTTTCATACTTGAGCTGCAGTGCTGTTAAACAAGTGACTTGTAATCCTCACACAAGTCGGGTGCAAAGAAAATAAGTTACAATACAGCCACAAGCCTCAACTTGCCTGGGTGAAGTCCAGCTGGTTTTAGGCAGATTAGTTAAGGAAGCTCATGTAAGAGAGTTAATCTCTGTTTTCCAGCAGGTCTGGAACATACAAATCATGCTAACCAGCAAAAACTACAATTCTTTATGGGTTTCAGTACAAGAGAGGATAAATATTTATCATTATCATCACTATAAATGTTACATGAAATGCAATAAAATGCAAGGAATCACTGCAACTTCCATTACAGCACTTTGGAACTGCCACCGAGTCTCACAGTCTCAGCAGTGTCCAAAAAAAGCCACCAAAAAACCCACACCCAAATTGAGCTGAAAGTTTTGATAAATGTCTTTTTCTCAGAAGTCCAAGACAATCGGTTTTGGTTCCCTGCCCTCCCCCTGGGACTGTGACATCTACAATGGATACTGGATTTTTCATTTTTTTTGGTTGAGAAATAATTCATCAGGACCAGCTGACTGTAGAGACTAAATATAGTCAGACTGTCAATAAAGGATTTACAAGCTAGTTACAAATGTGATGTCGCTTTTTTCACTAGGTTGTCATTTACTTTCTATTTTCCATCTATTTCTCTCACTGGGAGGACAACCAAGTGTATTTTCTCTTAATTCTTTGCCAACAGACGTACCTGGTGCTGGCAGTGAGGAAAGACTGATTGCTGAGCATCCTTAGCTCGGAGATGTGAGGGAGAACAGCCCCCTGGCCACTGCAGGAGCCCCGGCACCAGCTGATTTTCCTGTGTTTGGGTAAGTTCAAAAGCTATGGGGAGCACACACCTGTGTGCACAGAGTGCCAGTTCTCACACCTCCAACAGTGAAGTCACTTTTTTAGATAGATCCAGCCACAATACAGGAAACATTGCATGGACACACAGGTGAGGTTCAGGCCACCCTTCCCAGGGTTTCTACTGCAAGGTGAAGGATGTCTTCACCACGTGTAAGACTCATATAAAATTTAAGTGTTCCAGTGTAGTCAGAAATTCTTTAAGGATTCCCTTCATGGCACCCTCACTATTTTCTCAGGCCTCTGAGGCACAGCACGAAGATATCAAGTACACACTCACTGTAGGTGTTTTGAATATCTAATTTTCCCCGTGAGGGTGTGTGCTCACGTGTATCATTATGGATTTCTGTGCTAAAGTCCAGAGCTGTGGCACAGAGGCAGGTGCTCCCACAGCTTCAGGTACCAACACACCTGCCCTGGTGCCACAGGCATCACCTTGTAATGAGGCATCAGCAGGAACAGCACTGCCAGTGCTCCCTTGTGAGCTGCTCAACCACCTGGGCAGTTCAGGGCTATAGACTGAAAGAGTGTGATACCACATCTTATCACTGACTAAAAGCAGGAGAATCAGCTTCAGTTTATAGGATGCTGTAAAGTTCAGGAGGGGGTGGGGAATAAAATACTAAAATTGACTGAGAAATATGACCAATTATCTAACTTAATCTGAAAAAATAACTGGAAAAATATCACGGCAGTCCTATGAATATCTGACTTCTTTCCTTCCCCTGGTGCTACTGCAATCATCCCAAAGGCCTTGTGTATTGTCATATTCTGTTTCTCCTATCAGGCATTTCTAGAACCAGAGAATTTGCACCTTATCTGGAAGTCTTCGTAACAGAAGTTACAACAACATAATTGTATACAGAATAAACTTGTTATTTTGGGTAGTCCTGTAAGAACAAGCTGCAGTATCAATTTTTAAACATTTATATTCTTTATGTTCAATAACAAACCCACCTTTTATTCTCTGCATTTCTGTTTTGTATTTTAGCAGGGAAAAACAGACCCAAGGCTGGCTCATCTCTTTCCACCTTTCTTATAGCAGCCTGGAGGTCTGTACAGCACAAGACCAGAATGCTACTTATAAAACTGGAAGATATAAAACTTCATTCCTGAAAAAGCCCACGACTACTTTGTATTTCCATTTCAAGACACTCTCTGTGTAGTTTCCTTTCATAACACAGGAATGGAGTGGCTTCTTCCAATGCAATTCCATAATAAGTATAGTGGAATGTTTTATGCTCCATAGGAAAAGCTGGCCTGGTTGTAACTGCTTAAACCACAGCCTCCAAGCTGCTTTCCCAGAAGTTTCCACCAGATGAGGTGCTAAAGGTTCTGTAGTTGCTGGCACACCTCCCTTGCCTTTCTATCCAACACAGTCTATTCCAAAGGTAGCACATTGTTGCTCCAGAAGGGCTGACAGGGATGCAGTGAGGTGGGACAAGATGACAGATCCCTCCTCTTCAGCTGCAATGAGCCGGAGAAGGGAAGAGTGTGAGGTGTCACCTTTCTAAGGGAAGTGAAACAGGATTCCAGCTGACAGGGCCAGTGTGTATGTTAAAGTAAGCCAACAACTCCCCCCCCTCCCCTTTTATTTTAGTGGAAGGGCAGCTAGCTATATGCATCCTAAACTATGGAATTTTCTCTTTTTCTGCTTGGCTTTCTCTCTAGTGAGAGTGACACAAGTGCTATATCCCAGGATTAACAACAGAGAGCTGTAGCTCAGAAAAGTACCTGCTCAAGTGGCAATTTTGCTTTGTAATCAGGAGGAAAATAGACAGTTTTGAATGACAAATACTTGCAAGATAGTGTTTTAAAAATATGGTGCTGCCTTACATTACAGTCTGATAGAATTTTTTCAGCAAGTAGATATGTTCTTCTTAGCAAAATAAGAATTTTCCAATTCAGTTCCAAAATTTTTCCGTGAGTTGACCACTTAAAGCTCACAGCTTCTGATACAGAAAATCTCTCATTTCTGCAAAGAGAAATGAGGGAGAGAGAAAAGCCCACAGGGCTTCTCTTAGTTGCAAATGTAAAATAAAGTGGCTATCACTGGAAAGAAAAATCAGATAGACCTCTCCATAGATTGGACCTCACCCTACTGATTCTATTAGTATTAGATATATATGATTATCAAAATGTTGTTAGTTTTCTTTACTAAAAGCTAAAAACCAGTTATCAAAGGACCTCTATGAGCCTGTTAGATGTTACTCAAGAGCTCTGACTTAGTAGCTTACTCACAGAGATTTATAAGAAATGCCAGCTTTTGGATAAACTGTAGGTCTATTCATCAACCATCACTGGTTTGTTCTCTTACTGACTGATGGTTTATCAGCCTTGACTCTCAGCTAATATGCAGTTACCCCAATAATTGCAGACATTTGGCTTCCTGCAGAGAAGTATAAAAGGCTCTCAAAAAAAGGAAACATGCATATGTTCCTTCCCTGTGCAGGAACCCCTGCCCCGAGATCCACATCCCAGCATTACTGCAACCACTGTATTACTGCATTACTGCATGATGAGGTTGTGGAGACATTTCAAATTACACCACTTGATGGGCAAATATGTTCTGTGAATGTGTTCAAATCCTGTCTTTTAGACCCGAAGAACAGTCCATTCTTTTGTGCACGAGAGGAACATCAAGTTCAGGGCTCATCCTCTGTCAGGCAAGAATTCCACTTACTATATGCACACCGTTAGAAGTTTTGGGACTTTTCTCCCCACCTCTCTATGTTTTGTGACTACCACAGCATAGAGCAATCTTTTTAGGCTAATACTTGCTTCTCTAGATTATTTGTAGTGGTTTTTAACCGAAAAATTTCTCTTGAAGAGAACCCGAATTTTTCCAAATTCTTACATTTCAGACTGCTGATGAGCATAAGCTTTTGTATACCTGCTTCCAGGTAAGTTTTAACAGAATGCAACTATGAAAATACAAGCCTATAACTCAGAGTAATCTTCAAAAAAATTATCAGTCTTGGTTAGATTTAGGAAGGGATTTTTGTCTCCTCTGATTGTCGTTTTAACATACTGATCTTCTGCATTTTACTTCAATCAATCAAGAACATGCAATGTAATATTTTTATTTCTTTTTCTGTTTAGACAAGCAATTAACAGTTTACACTTCCTAGTTCTTAAGCAATAAACTCTAGGTACAGACTCATAATGTGATTGTGGGTGACTGCTGTAGAAACAATTGCTACACAACAAACAAAGTGGGACTTTACACCCACAATATGAAATGAGATGTAGCTACAACAACTGGCAGGTGCCGGAGAGGATAGTTGGGAAGATAAGAAATCAGTATTCCACTAGTGAGTAGGAAATAACTTCCTGATTCCTTGTGCAGGCTACAAAGACAGCCTGTGCTACTAGAGGAGAGAGTTTATTAAAACTATAAGCACCAAAAATCAATGTGACAAAGCCTCAGACACCTGTGTTTAACGTCACAAAAGTTACTATTTTAACACTGTGGTGCAGTGTCGCCATGAAATTGGTTTTAGTGCATTATTTTATTGTGGTTTCCTGAAATTTGAATAGTATGAAATCTTTACATTTTTAAACATGCAGTTTCTTGTTTCCTATCTTTCCTTCCTAGAGGGATTTCCAAAAGGGGCCTAGGAAAAAAAGGTATGCAAATTCCATATTGCAGAATAACTTGAACCACATAAATTCAGGTTCTGTTCCTAAATGCTCACATCAAGTCTGAGGGACTACAAGCTCAGAAATTAGGGAAATAAGAAATTAGAAAGAATGTTGACTAAATCCTTATCCCTTATTCATAAGGACTGTGTTATGACTGCAGTACATTCTTCTACTGCCTCAATTTGCCTAAGATATTCTGTATTAAAATAATCCAGAGTGCTTCAACCAGACTTGAAAGATAAGGATACTTAGTACAAAAGCTCTGAATCAGCTGGAATATCCAGATTTCCGTTTCAGTCTCTTTGTTTTCCCCTTCTGCTCCAATCTCCTCTGACAGAAGAAAGCATTTTTCTGGCATTTTTACTTTTTGCCCCACTGTTTCTCTGGCCTCTATGTGTTCTACCCTCTACTTCAAAAAATTCCTTCTGTACTGCTGTTCCATTTCTGTTTCTGCCCTGCTGTGGGGCTGGTATCCATTTTACTGGCTCATTTTAGAAGACCATGTTCTGTGTTTCCTTATGAGAAGAAGAGAAGGATTAACTGTGGTTTTGATACAAATCTTTACATCACACTTGGCAGTAAATATACTCCGGGTCACCCTGCAGGTTTGGGTTTGAACTGTAAAATGACCTCTTTTTTGGCAAAGATAACAGAAGTATTTTGCATGATAGAGCTGCTAGTGGTCAATAATGTGTCTTTTGACAAGTCTAAAGAAACTCATGGAAGAGACAATTCCACAGGGGGCTGCACCTACAGTAACCCCCCTGGGGTTATAGGGCCCACAGATGAGCAAAGTTTGATCTGGTCTTCACACATCCCACATTGCTCAGCATTCACTGTAATATTATAAAAATACAAAAGTGTACAGTAAATTCTTTTTTTTTTCTTTTTAAGCAGATACTTTTAAAGACATCTGAGAGTCTATTGTCTATTTGGCAAATATTTCAGTGTTGTAGCCCAGCTTCAATGCCTTCTTTTCTTGAAAATGCAAGTAATCTCTCACAGATTCCTAACCATATTATCCTGCCTTTTCCAGTGTTCACTGGCTTTCCTTATCTTTAAATTAAGTATTCCATCAGAGAGTATGGTGAAAGAAATCCAGAGTTACTGTTTTCCTTAAGAAGAATAGGTTTTTCTGCAGGAACAGTCAAAGCAGAAGGTAAAGAGAAAGCAGGGTTAGTGGCCTGACCCTGAAGAAGGCCAGGTTTTCTCAATACAGTATATCTAGAAAAAGGTTTGTAACTGCAGGGAAGAACTCATAATTAAGCAAAAATATATTTTCAATCGCAATCCTGTATTGTCCCCAATAATAGGGAAAAACAGTTCTTTTCAGCATTCAGCACAAGATTGCCCAGTGATAGTATTTTCCAACAAGCAATGTCCCACAGTCACGTGACACCCAATAAATCAGCTGCTTCCCTGCATCTGCCCAACTGCTGGATTGCAAATATCGTGATTGTGCATTTTCTGATATTTTATAAGACTCTGCATAGTCATCTCTTCTAACTTTTGTGCTGTGGTTTGACACCAGCAGCTCTGCTTTCTGCAAACACCCTGCAGAGCAAACACAGAAAGCACCTCCATCAGGACTGTTTGCTTTGCCCTGTTTGCTGTTCTGCCGCTCCCAGCTTTGAACAGGGGAGTTCACACTCACCCAAAGTGGTTTCAGAACAAATCATAAAAATGTGTGCAGCACATGGAAACCAGTGGCCACTGTTCAAGGAAGTTCTGTCCCCTCAGTTCCACTTCACCAGAGCTATTAAAAAAAAATTGCTCAACCCACCCTTTTTAATCAGCTGAATTAACAGACTATTGTGGGTTACAGGAGCAGATCCATGTTACATCACTGGAAGAGCCCTACACTGCCCAAAATCAAAAGTTCTGAGACAAGAGTCTTCATCAAAGTTATTTTTGTCAAAAAGCAAATAAAGGCATCAAACAAATGTTTCCTCTTTGCAGTGTAGTTCCCGGTTCTTTGTTTTGTAGTGATGTAAGAAATAGTACAAATACTTTGTACTTCTTTGCCTAACATTAGAATTATACTGCTCAGCCTACAAAAGTGAAGTTGTCAAGGTCAAGTGCAGATGACAATCTTTCAAAAATTCAGAAATTATTTTCAGGGAAGTACAGAACTTGTAGTAGATTTATATAATGTAAAATTAATCCATCTTTGAGTCTAGTTTCTCTTTCAAAAGCTCAACTAGAAAATAAATATAATGCATATGAGAACTTTTTAATGATACACTTGATCAAAAGTAGTGAGGTAAACCTGAACCCTTCACAATGAAACTCATCCAGAAAATGGTTTTAGTTTAGAACTGCTGTCATACACTAGGACTCTTCACACCAGTATTCTACTGCAAAAGTATTTCAACATTCATCTCTGCATTAAAAATCAAGCTGTGTATTTTTTTGGTATTTATTTTAGAATTATATGAACTTAAAAATACATGCTTTTGAATGCACAGGCAGATATATAGTCACAAAAGGAAAAAAAGAAAAGGTCACTTTGTCAGAACATTTTAAGTGTCTTGAGAAAGAATATGAAACAATATACCTGAAAGGCATCTCATCCTTTCCATCTATGTGTCATTTAAGAGTAAAACATACTTCTACTGATCCTTATCTACTTCACATTAGTTCTATGAAGTGCCAGCAGGAAAACAAAAACAAAGTTTATTTTTGAAGGATTTCACTTACCCAATTCTTTAGAAACTGGAGAACCAGCTGATATATCCCCGATCTTTGCAAGGCTGTCATAATACGCTCTTCCAGCCACTATCATAACTGGGGGTGAGGGAAAAGAAAGTGTTAAAAAAAAAATCAAAATATCTTCCATTTTTTATTAATCTGTGATCCTCTGAAGTCTTGTAATCCAGGGCACAGAGAGTAAGAGAGGAGTATATGGCAACAAGGAAATCTATCATAAAAAGTTACACAAGCCCCTGTGCTCCTGCTAATTTGTGAAAGCAGGAGACAAAGACAGGACACCAGAAGACATTAATGAAGTTTCAGCCTCTTATTTAGTTCCAACTTTCATGCAGACCCAGGGGCAATCAGCATCCAGTGGGGAGGTTTAGCCATAAGCCATTGGTCAGGACATAACGAAATTCCTTAGTACCAATAAAACTGGAGGAAAAAAACCAAAATGCAGTCCTAAATTTACCAGAAATGCCAAGATCTCTTGTATTGACCAGGCAGAGGAGTGATGTGAGAAATGGCAACTGGCCACGAGACAAGGGACCTGTCATTGCCACAAGGAAACCTGGAGCCCTTCAAAAACAAATGACCATTTCCTGCTTAAGTTGGCTGTTACAGGAACCAATAAGTTCTTAATATATATCATGAAGGTTCCAGTTATTCCCAGTTAATCATTTCCTGGTGATGGCTGATTTAAACAGCAAAGCCAGTTTTGCCAGAATGAACACGGAAACGTCAGGACTCAAACTGCAGGGAGGGCAGTGGGGAAAAGCACTTTACTCAGGGAGTAGATCTGCAATGGCTGCCTTCCATCTTCACAGTGTCTAGAACTGATCTGCACCCACGAAGAAAAGAAATAACAAGGACAAACTGGCAAGATTTTAATGCAAAAGGGCGGTGAAAAATACTTACTGAAGTTAGTCTTCATAATTTTTTTGTAGTAAAACATTCTTCACCAAAAGGTAAAGCCAAGCAGACTTGCTGTTGACTTTAGAATTTTTTTTTTTTTTTCTGAGAGGAATATAATTGCCAATTATAGGTCTGTATTTTATAGCTTTTACTATTAAGGTGACATCTTTGATTACATAACAGTATATTCACTGAGAAGTCTGAGAATTTTCCAAATGAAACAAAGATTCTTTTTGAGGCTCTGTTGCACTAGAAAAGGGTAATTTCTGCCTCAGCTCCATCTCATAGGTGCTCTGTGTTCAGTCTTTCTGAGCTGAAGAATTATGGTGGTGCTGTGGTGGAGCACACTGTGCCACCTGCACGAGGAGATTTGATGCCAGTCCAACTCCTCCTATCTGTGTTTCCTCAAGACAGCCCCAACTCACTCTTTTCTCCTAATGCAGGTACTAAAAAGATGAAAAAAATGTGTGATTTCCCCTGTGCTAACCAAACTAAAATCAAGAACTCCACTTGTACAGTCCCTTCACCAGTACTATGGCTTTTAATCTACTGCAGAAAAGGAGCTTTGACCTTTTGTCCCTAAAATATTTAAAAATACATTATAAACCTATCGGGAGTTCTCCCAAGTTTTATGTTCACTGTCGGCCTACTCTGGCTTTTTTTTTTTTTTTTTTTTTTGAAAGCTACAAAGTGTTTGTTTAGCAACAGAGTATTTACTCCGTGCTCCAGATCTATTTACGCCGCTCAGGACTGGTGGTGGAAAGATTAACAATTTATGAGAGTCCAAAGATGACTTTGCAACAGTCGTTGCAACATTGTACACGTCCCTTGGAAATGAAGCACCCGTGGCAGCTCTGCTTTATCAGCCAGTCCTAAAGGCAAAGGTGCCAGGACACAGCACCCCCCGGCCTCTCCTCTGTGCTCTGCACAGTTATGTTGTGAGCTCCTGGTGACAAACCGAATCAGAAGAGGCACAGTGTAACATCTCAACAGCAAAGTGTGTGAAAAGCAGAACCCTCAGAAACTGGTGTAGAAATATTTCAAGTGAATATGAAAACACTTGTTGCTACTTCTGGCACTACCTGTAATTCCTAAGGTCAGGTATTAGGTAACCACATGTTCATCCATCAAGTTAGGCACCACTACAGATAAATCAACATTTCCTTATTTTCATCTCCAGCAGGCTCTGGTTTTATCTTTTTCTCAAGCCTGGCCTAAAATTTGCATGAAGAGAGATTTTAATGTCTGTTTGGCTATGCACTACTTCTGCAGGATCACATTTCTCAGAGTACTAGATTACATGTAGGGCAAAGACACGCCATGGGTTTGAGCAAGGCAAAATTAGAGACATTTTACATCGCTTTAATATGATATCAAGCAGTTCAGCAGGTCTGCATGGGTGAAATGGAGCAAGCTCTAACAGGTCCTACACTGTATAGGCTTTGGGAAACAAGAGCCCAGTCCTGGAAGCCCCTTCCTAGATAGTTTCTGTGAAGTCAGTGATGGAAGTAAACTACTGGATTCTAAAACATCCTTAAATATATTCATTCTGATTTTGAATCCATTAAAAAAATACCATCAGGATTAGCATGGGCAACAACAACAAAAGCAATCCACTACTGCAACTCATATTCATTCACATTGTTCTGTTCTCAGGGTTCCTTAGGCAGTGACGTGTGTAGGTGAGCAGGAACAGATCTAAGGATGTGAAACATCTTTGCAAGATATTTTCAGAGAAAAACCAAGAATATCAAATTTACATCACTTTGGTGGGGTTTTTTCCATTTATGTTATTATTCTAATATGGGTTATTTAAACCTACTATCAGTTTATTTTGCAGTAGCTCTGTGCCTAAGTGTTTGTGAGGCAACTTCCTCAGGACAGTGGAAAAAAACCCAAAAGGCTGGGGAGAAGGTACATATGTTTGTGTGTTTGTGGTTGTTAGTTGGGTTTTTTTTTCTCTTAATATACACATCCAAAGTTCAACTTGGAAATTAAACTTGTACACAACCCTCATGTCTAATATGTATATTTAAATGAAAATTAAACAATCTTTCTAAAGTTAGCACTTAAAAAACTTACCATTAACAGCTTTTTCATAATTCTTCCCCAGATTTATTAAATTCCTCAGTCCTGGATTGAACTGTTCCATAACATTCTAGTGAAGAGAAAACAAACTTTGTGTTATAACAAAGGCAATTTAACAGTGGATGGAAGTGTTTATCTAAGTGTCACTTAGGTCTAGTTTTCAGTTTCATATGTACAGCATCCATCTGAAAAGTCTGTGGATGGATGAAAATTGGAAGATTTGGGATACAGAGGAAAGCAAAGGATGGAAGGGAAAAAACCTGAGCATTTAAGATCAACAAACAGGAAAAAAAAGGTAAACTATTTCACAGGGGTAGAAAGGAATCTGGCTGTTTATAATACAAAAGGATGTCAAGCATGTGATCAAAGTTTGCACAAAACTGTCTTCTATGGTAGGTGATGGTGGAATGAGAGAAAAATCTTTATCCATAAAGGTTTTTAGCCATAGTCTTTGCAAAAAGTAGAAAAAAAGCTATGAAGTGGGAATCCAAATTTGTGTTTGCCTAAAGTTGGGAGGTGAAGGAGGGAGAAGAAGCTTTTGCCAACTCCCAAAAGGAAAATCCCCCACAAAGTTTGAGTTGTCCCTACTCAAAAGCTTCAGTTTCTCCTCTTTCTGGTCAAAGATAACAACTGTCCCCCTTCCCCCCAAATCAGTATTGCAAAGTTACTTGCTATGAGCACTGAAAAAGGAAAAGCAGCTGCTATAAATGTAGCAATTATTCACTCCTCAGAATCCTGTTCTTTATATCTTGAACACATGTAGCATAAATAGTGGTATTCCAAAAGGAAGGTGATGAGATACCAGAAGACACTATTTTGTTATTCTTACTGTTTTTATGGCAATACTTTTATGACACAGCTCACTATTGTTCACACAGCAGAACTTTCAAGTTCAAGGAATTCAAAACAGATGCTTTCTGTTTACAAGAAGTACAAGACTCAAGAAAAGTGAAATAGTATCAAGCTTTTGTCTGTTGTACTACTAACAGAATGCAAATATTTATGTTTAGTACATAGATGGACCCAAAAAGAACAGCAATACCATCACATGTGTCTTATTTTCAGGCAGACAGAATTTTATTTAATTTTTCAAAGACAGCACTATACCTAACTCTATTCCATTTAAAAAGTGAAGAAAAGAATTAGCTCCAATAACACTTTAACAATCATATTGAGTTAAAATATAGATTTTAAAAAAAATAAAACTATTAGATTCCAATACTAGTAGAGTATAAATCAATAGCAGACACAGAATGACAATACCTGGCCTCTCTGCCTCTGTGTACAAATTAAATGTAACTGGGATTGTTTTCTGGTCTGTCCCATTAAACTCTCACCCACCAAAATGCAATCACTGCAAACAAACCAGCTATTGTCCCCAGGCCCTTGATTTGTGTTAACTCACAAACCACATCCAGAAATCATTTGGGAAAGTGTGTTTCAGGTTGGGCCAACAATGCCAAGGGCTATTTTAACAACTTAACAGCATGGATATTCAAGCTCTGGTGTCTGGGAACAACCCTCCTCCTGCCCCAGCTCTGTAATTTGCTCCTGTCAGTGTTGCTGCTGTGCCTGTTGCCCTCCTCCTTGCTGAGGCAGTGGGACTGGGACACACTTGTTCCAGGGAGCAAGTTGTTTCTTCCTATTCCAACTTTTTCCTATTTCTTCCCAGCTGTGTACCAAAGATGTCTGTTGCCATACATGGAGTCAGTGAATCACAAGGAAAAAAAAAAGTTGAATTAGGGGATTGTTTTAGGATAGAGAGTTCTGTATTTCGAGGATATGGGGAAAGGAAGGTGTACCATGGTGCTGTGTATTTATGGCAGGTAAGAATTTCAGTGTCACCTTGAATTACCACTCTGTACTGAAAATAATTTTCCTGAAGGACAGATTCTGCCCCTGTTAACCCTGCTCCTTGAAACAAAAAATTACAGAGTAAAACCCACTTGATCCATAGCAGTTTTTCAAGTACAGCAGACACAGACTACCCTGTGGGAACACAACAGCTCCACTGAAACTCAAGGGACTCAGAGGAAGAGCTCCAGTACATCACCTCTGCTCACCGTGCATGTAAAACTGCTGGGACAGATGAAGAAACAATTTACAGCTCAGTGCCTGCAGTGGCTGGAAGGAGTACAACTAATGGATCTTTTCTCCATCAGACCCAGCAGTCTCTGGAAGTGTTTCAGGCTTTGCTCTGCCACAGTGGTTGATTGTTAGCAGAACCAGTCTCCAGACGTGAACGCCCGAGAAACGGCAAAAACCTTTGCAATGGAAATTCCCCTTTGGAATCTGCTTGGTTTAACACAGGGTATGGTTTGCTGATCCCCACAGCACTGGGCAGGGCTCGTCTACTTTCCTGCTAAGGGTTGGTGTTTGATAGTCTTAGCTCTGTTTGATAGACTTAGCTCTCCCTGACCCCCCGCCAGGTCTCCAAGGTGACCCAGTGGAATAATTCTGAGATTATTTCCCTTTCATACATTAGAAAGAAGCATAATATGTGTTGTTTTTTGTTTTTAATTTCTGCTGAAGGCTAGATTCTCAAAGCAAACAAAAAACCTGGCCATGCTTCTAGTGGTCTTTTCATACAGTTAACCACACTTAACCACTGGCTGTCTTTGAAGTACTGCCCAGAGAGAAGCACTTTTTCAAAAAGGGGAACTGTCACAGGCAACTCCCTCTTCAGGATCAGGTATGAATTTGATATGGCCAAGACATTTCAGATCAATTAAAATTATTGTAATATTTTATTCAGCTTCAGAAGTTACAGGGGACAAGAGCAACTCAAATCAATTTGTACAGTTGCTTTTTCTTACAGTTTTAAAGCTTCTCTTACTTGTGGTCTAAGGAAAAGGTCATGAAAATGAGTGGGACTGAACATCAGTGCAACATTTCAAATCATACATTAAAGCTAGATCTCAAAACTTCTAAAAAAGCAGGACAGAGGACCAAAGAAGAATTTCTGATCCAGAGAACCACTAATTTAAAGTTGTCAGAAGTCTCTGAAAATAACACAGTCTTGTTATTTGTCACACGGTGTACACAGATGTGGAAATGAAACCTCTGCCTTAATCCAAATAAAGATCACAAGGTAAGAAAGAGCCTGGGAGAGACAAAGTGGTTCAGAATACATTGTTTGACTGTACAGTGAGCATAAAAACACGGCCTCCTAATTGTCAATCGTGTGTCCTATATTCCAGTGACACTCTACCTCTCATGGACAGAATAATTAACGAGAAGAGGAGGCACATGATCAGATCCTACAGCTTTCTATTATTTAGGATGAATGGAAATAAAGGGAAACATTTTCAAAACAGGCAACTAGAAACATGTTTTATGCAGAGACCTTTAGAGTTGGCAAAAGTGACCTCCCAAGAAAAAAAGCAGAAGTGAAACCTATTCTGGTCATTTGAGTCATTGAGTCCTCATATAATCTGTTATAAAGTTGTTGTGTGCCTTTCACATCATGAAGCCAATGTGAGTTATTCAGCCTGGTAGCACAGAGCTGACTGAGGAGGAAGAAGCCTTGTATTTCCACTTCTTGTGTGTAGGTATTATATCTCCCACAGTTCCTGATAGTCATATAAACAACACTAATCTTCAAAACAAATGACAGCCATTGTAAAAGTGCCTTCCTGTAAATGCTCAGCATTGCTTTTTACTTAAAGACACACCTCACTGAACAATAGCTCAGCAGGTATGAACACAACTAAACAATGCATAGACTCCCTGTAGATTCAAGTTTACATCCTGCAGGCACTTTTGCAAGAGTGAATAGCAATGTATTTGGGTAGAAATCTGAAATTATAAAACTAGCAAAGTAGATCTTGATGTGCATCATCACTGATATTACCATCACTACAGCTGTTCATAGCTAACCTTTGTATAGCAACTAATGATTTAATTTAAATTGTTATTTCTTTATTTGAAAATGAGTAAATTTTTTTAAAAGTCTTTAGTGTTGCCACACTATGTCTGAGAACCCACTTGAGGAGATTCAAAAGCTATAAAAAAAGTAAATCATCCTGTGTTCTACTGTACTTGAAGCACTTTGTACATTACTGCATTTCATCTTCTTTAACTTTTGAAATCCATAATACAGTTTTCAGAAGGGCACAGTTGAGCCCTCAGCACATCTCATGTTAAGCTATCTCGGTTTTAAGTTAGCTTAATATTGTTTTAGAAGAATTTTAACAGAATGGAAAAGAATAAATTAAGGTGCCAGTGTTTATTCAAAAAGACTAATTCTTATGACTAATTACCAGTCATCTTGATGGAACAGTTCTTGCTTAAGAGAAACATTAATATGTCATCCATCGCTGTGTTTCAAATACAGACTTTTCCAGGTTATGAACACCTGCCCAAGGATAGACTCTAAGTAGGCATAACTGTAAGTAAGGTCAAAAGAGAGAATTTGTACCAAGGTGGAACTGGATTTTAAACACACACACACACACACACAAACTTTCAAAGGCTCCTCCTCCCACAAGTTAGATTTGTATTTCTGGGATGCTAAACGACAGCCTGACTGCAGAATGTGCTAGGACCATAGGTGAATTTTAGTTTTGGTAAATAAGTCTGGTAGTTTATTCTAATTGTCAGTGTTTTTAAAATACGGAAACACGGAATTTGGGACTTTAGACAGAATTTGTCAGATCTATTTCCATGATAAAACAATATAGCCTGCCAAAGTAACTCTACAATGCCCCTGAGGAGAACACATCACTCCATTGAGCAAAGGGTTTTTTTGGAGGGGCTCTTTTGGTTTGGTTTTTTAGATTATACTTTGGTTGGTAATCGAAATTTCTGGGTAAGAGTCACTTGAATACAGAGCGATAGGTCTTTAAAACCCAAGATTAGCAATGCCAGTGAATCACAGCTATCCTGCCGTTCTGAAGAGCTCCGGAAACCTCAAACCACGGGAGCACTCGGTGACCGCCTGCCCAGCCCTCAGCCCACACAGACAGGACAGGTCTGGAACTCAGCACTTTCCTGTTTTGTCCCCTTTCCCCTGCACTCTGTGTATCCCAGCTGGATGCCAAGTAGTTTTCCCCCACATACAGCAGATAAAACAACCCTGTGCGGGCTGTGGGGACACACCAAGACATAACAACTTCCCTGGGGTTACAAATGGAGTCAGTGTGCCAGGGGGTCACACAACGTCCCCTCACATCACGTCACATCACCTCGGGGAGCGACAAGGGCAGGGCTGTGTCATACCAGGGAACCTCTGAGCAGTTCCTTGGCAAAAGGGAGGCTGTGCCCTCTTTAGTCATCGACTCCCACACCCTTGGGCTTCATTTTGCACGTGCCATTCCTATCATGTGTTAAGGCGATTCTTCAGGTATTACATAAAGTGTAAATGTCAGTCCTGGGTTTTGTGTGTGCACACATATTTGTGAATTATGTTGTTTACTTAGTCAGGGTAGCTGAAAAACATTGAAGTATTCACTTTCTGGTGCTGTCGCCAACAGAAAGGAAGAACAAGATAAAAATAAAAGGGTCACCTGATGAATTCTGTGAGTGTATTTTGAAGCTTTGTATAACACAGGTTACTATGTATTTAATAAATCCAATGGATTAGCACTGTGAGAAGAAAAAAAAAGCAAACACACAACAAAACCTCCAAAAATAGCAGACCAGCAAGGTATTAAATTTAATTTTCTATTACTTTTCCAGGTCATCCAAAAGTTGATTTTTTTTGAGAAGTCCAAAGCCTGTGTTCAGCCCGGCAGCACAGATGCCATCACTGCATTACATGGAATTGGTTTTCCCAGACCAAGACTTTCTTTTTACTGGTAGGAGAGGCACAAACAGAAGGTATGAATTTCATCCATCCCAGCACGGTGTTTCAAGCAGGGCATTGCCAGGGTGGCACAGCAAGGGCAGAAGTTCCACGAGCACCACTGAACAAAGCAGAGCAGGCTGAAGCACAGCACAAAGAGGTGTTCATTTGTTTTAGATGGGGGAGCTGTGATTACAGTCACAGCCAGTGCTGAATACACAGGCTACTCCTCTCTGCCCCTAAGAGGTGACAAACTATTTTCAAGATTTCAACTTTGATCTAGAAATAACTGCTTTAAAGTAGACGCTGAATCCATTTTCTGTCTGAAGCAGCCTTTATACCTTATCTGGATAAAGTTTCAATTTTTAATGAGGGCAGGGCAGGAGGGTTTCCAGGCCTGTGAGTTCAAGCTATGTGATACAACATACCAGACCTCTCAAAATACCTACACAGAAGGCATTTCATCACACTGTCAACACTAACTTTGTATTACTGTGGTTTTGCTGGTTATTTCAATCTTAAGTATTCCTTTGAATTAGTTTAAAACACAAAAGGGTAAACTTTCACAGGAAATAAGTACTGAATAGCAGGGAAGGTTTTGCTTATTTAGACGTCTGTTATTCCTTTAAAGCCTATTTTAAATCATACCCATTAAAACACACAGGATATTTTCTTCCCCCTCCTCTGTAAAACTGTTTTAGCTACATTCTAGAAGTCAATAGACAAGGTAGAACATTCCTTTGTTGACACAGCCCTGAACAGTCAACTTCCCAGGTTTCTCTTCTGTGAGCCTATATTTACAGGGTGCTCTTCTGAGAGAGGATTTTATGTTTGCTTATGGCCTTGCCACGAACGTAACTGATATCAAAAAGCACCAGACTGTTTAAGATGACCTGCTCTGGTTCAGAGGACAAAATTTATAGCCAGGTAATCTCCTTTTTTTTTTTTTTAAAGTAATTTTGCATGAAACTGATAACTAAATCCAAAGAAAGTAAACAGCAAATACAACATGTCCCTAATTAACTGGTGTAATCAAAGGGGTAAAGTTGACTTAAGTGTGTTGAAGAACAACAAAAGTAACAAACATCAAAATTTACTCCCAGTAAATGTTTTCAGAGACCTTTCAGTGATGACAACATCATCTTCAGAAATATGAAAACGGTAGTAAACCAGTAAGGTTTAGTAAACAGTAAAATAGAATAACCCCTCAGAAAGCTTTCCTTTGGGCTCAAAGCTGCAAGTGCACTGCAGCTGTAAGTTAAATTTGCAAATGCATTCACTCATGCAAATTTGAGTGCTTTCTCTAGTTCAACACACTGTACAGAATGAGGATTACGGATCCAATGCTGCCCAGCCAAAAGTATGATTCTAAAGGGAATTTTGCCCAGTTAGAATTGATGTGTTTTGGAAGGACTGCGTTTATAGGGAAAAGAAGTTCAAAACAAGCATCTGGTGGCCACAAGCAAAATATTTTAAATTCTACAAATAACGAGGCATTTTGGAAAGTTCGAAAGCTACCGACACGATTGGGGCTGCCCGCAGCAGCCGGTGCTTTGAGGCAGTGCTTGGGTGCACCACCGTAAATCTGATTATCAGCTCGGGACGCCGGCAAGTAACTTAACTCAGCGTTAAGCCATTTTTAGGCTGTGGCCCCTGTGAAGAAACGGTTCAAGCAGAGGGACCACAACCACCAAACCGCCTTATCACCCAAACACACCGAGGGAACTCGGGAGAACCGAGGAACAGGTCTGAACGCCCGCCTTGTCCCGGGGCTGTCGCGGCCGTGCCCGCCCTGGCTGGGGAAGGCGAGCGGCCCGACACACCGGGGCGGGCGGATCACTCACGGGGAGGGAAACAGGGAGAGGGGGAGAAACAACGAAAAGAGAAGGTCGCTGCGTTTCCGCGCCAGGAGCCGCGGCCGCCCCGAGCCCGGCGCGGCCCCCGGGGCAAAGGTGGGCGCGGGAGCCCCTCCCCGGCCCGCACTCACTTTGTACGTGTTCTCCGTCAGCTTGTTCACCTCCTCGGGGTCCCGGGACATGGTGCCGGCGGGCAGAGCTCGGTCCTGCGGAGCGCCCCGGCCCCAGCGCAGCGCCGCGGCAGCCTCGGCTCCCCCTCGGCCGCGAACAAACTGTCAAAAACTTGCGGAACCAGCCGGGGCAGCGCCGCCGGGGCGGGACCTGCGGGGCCGCGGCTCCCGACGCGGCAGGACTGGCTGGGCTGGGCGGGGAGCGACGGGATCGCATCACCGCACCGCGCCTCGCCGGGCACGGCAGGGCAGGGCTGGGCTGGGCTGGGCGGATCGCCCGGACGGCCCACCCGCCGCTACCTGAGCTGCCACCTCCTCCATCCTCCTACTCTTCCTCCTCCCAGCTTCCCTCTCCGGGAGCCCCTGCCCCGCTGCCAAAGCCCAGCCTGGGCCGTGTGGAGGTCATTTCAGCTCTGCTGGTGCCCCATGGAAGTCGGAGGTAAACTTTTTCTCCCAGCAATTAACTGAGGGTTCTGTAGGAATTAATTAGTTAGTCTTGTCAGAATTAATTAGTGTAGCCCTAGCGATGCTGGTGGGGCGAGGGATGATCCCCTTGCTCTCTTCCACAGCAGCTTCCCATGAGGGGGGTTTCTCAGAGCCCCTCAGGCACGGGCAACAATGTCTTTCTCCCGGCTCCTGGCCCAGTGCACTGCCCGAGCTTCATGCTACATGCTACAGTGTTCTGTTTCTTTCGAATACACACCCATAAAACAGTGCCCCCAGTCATCTTTCCTCTGTGAACTGACTCACGAGGCCTTCATGAAGCAGGGCTGGTGAGGAAGGCTTTGGGAAGTTGTAAATTTTTGTGGACCATAAATTGGCCAGAGATTGTGAGATTAATTTAAAGTATGCTAGTTGGGATATCTTTCTGATAAAGTAATACCAGCACTACCTTGAAGGACCCTGTGGGAAGTTCATAACCTTAGGTACTGAAAACTAGATTTGGTGTTGAGTATGTGTGATGCAATCACTGTACTGATACATTGGCCATCCCTCTCTTGGTTTCTGTCTCTCCCTCTGATTCCCTCACTTTATTGCAGCAATAAAATCATGGCAGGCAGAGAAAACTGGCCTTGGAACAGAACCCTGGATGTTGGACTCTGAGGTGGGAGGAGGTTGTTACCAGGTTTCAAGAGCTGTAAAAGTGTTTTCATTTGAGCATTGGAGGTGCCTTTAGAATTACAATTACAATTTATCACCTGGAAAAAAAGTGGGCACTTAGAGTGTTATCTTGAATGCAGCTAAATCTCAGGGAGGAGAGGGGATTTTATGGCACTTCATACCCCCAGGTAAGGTCTTTGTAAACTTCTGGTAGGTATGGTATTAATTGCCTTTCAATTCAATTTATAATGTTATCCTATAGGCATAATGAATTATTTTGGGCCCAACTCTACAATTTATGTTCCCATTAAGCAGTGTTTGCTTATACAATCAGTTGTCTAGAATGTGATGTGGCTGTTTGCCTGAACATGAGGAGAAGAGTCACAAGTCTTTTGTCTGAAGAGTGTTTTACAACTTTGGAAACAGATCATGCCTGGGCACCACTGCTTTTGTGTTACCATATGCCAATGCTTGGAAAGGATCTCCCTCTCTAACAGGCTGGCATTCAAATTTGAAGAAGCAAGTACCCAAAGGAAGATGTAGAATAGGTTTTCCTTTCCTGATTCTTGCTAAAGGAGCTGGGAATGTGCTGTATAGCAGACAGTGTTATTCCTGTTAGGGACAAAGCATTTCTCTTTCCTCTGAACACTATGGAGCTCTGGGAGCTCACCTGGCATTCAGGGTGTTTGTTTCCAGTTGGCACACTAGGTTCAGTCATAGTAAATAACAATGTAAGTGTTAATGAAATATGCATATCAGAAAGAAACTATGTGGACAGGCAAGTCTAGCTCTTTAAGTATCCAGACCATTGCTATAAATCATAAATTTTGAAATTCACTAGAAAACAAAAGTCTGCTTGTACTTGTAATACAAACACAAATATTTTGGTCTCTTAATAAGGGATTTTTGATCCTACATTGTGTTAAGATTAGTGGTATTTTAGATGGAGTCAATCCTGATGCGTGCAAACAACAGGAAGTTAGAATGGTCTGATTACTTCTTTTGACGCTTACTTTTAATACATATAGAGTTTCATTGTCCAGAAAGAGGAAGAAGGAAATACTCTTACTTTGGTGGTGAACCCATGCTGCTGTGTAATTATGTCTGTTCTTTTCACTTTGTCTCAAGCAATAACTGCTTGAGTTCATGTTAGAGGGAACCTGGCAGGTTAGTAGCTTACCTGGTCCAGTCTCCCATCAGAGTAGGGCTAATTTCAGCATTAGCTTGCTCAGGGCTTCATCCAGGTGAATTTTGAAAATCTTCAGGAAGGAACAGTTGAGGAACAGAATGGGAAGTTCTATTTGAAACAACCTGTAACATGGCAAGTAAAGAAAATCATCTACAGTGTTATAGGAGACAATAATTATTAACATTTCATGTGGGTCTGTCCCCTGAGGTAAGACACCCATCCAGCTGAGCTCCTCTAGCTTAACTAACATCCTCTGTGTTGTAACAAGAGCTTTGATATTAGACTGTGACACGTTGCCTATTGAGAAAACAAAACTCCTTCCTCATTACCTGCCCTTCTGCCTCACATTACACTTTCCTGATGTCAAACTGAAATGTTTGTAGACTTGTAATTATGCATAATTCCAACAGACCCCTGTTTCAAAGTGATGGCTTGGACTTCAGTGTCTCCTGGTCTCACTCTTGCCATGGTTAAAAGGTGCTCCTGGCCCTTGGCAGGTGGGTATGAACAAGAGCAGCCAGGCACAGGGGCTGGGCTGGGACTGAGGCTGTTGGCACCTGAACTTGGCTTCCTGCTTGTATTCCTGGGCAGTGCCTGCTCTGGGCCCGGATCCAGCAGTTCATTCCACGTTGGCCAAAGGCAGAGCCACATAGATTTAGCAAAACTGCTGTCGAGGGAGGGACTCACTCAAAATAAGTCCTTATATATATTCCCTACAGAAGGCCAGCTCTCCCTTGCAGCATTTAAGTTTTGGAACACGAGTAGCAGCAGTAAAAATTTCCCCATGTCTTGTCAGCCTTATAGAACTGAGACTGTAGTGAGAAAATTGTATTGTTGATATAGCTTTTGAAAACGTATGTACTCAGAAATATTCCTTTGAGTACTTCTTTAAAAGCAGTAATGATTTGATGTGTGATTGTTTTCTGTATGTGTCCTGTTTGCATGCCAGTGACATATTCAAACCTTTGGAAAGGTTTAAGCATGCTGGAAAGGCCCATTAATGTCAGCTCATCATTAGATCTTTAACATGTGTTTTGAGTAGCTTAATATGACTGTAACTAATTACATAAATTGTGGCTAAGCAGTGATCACATATGCATGATACAGCCAGCTGTGGCCTATGTCATTCCCTGTGGTCATTAGCAGATGTTTAACTTGATTAAGGAAAAAAAAAGTGTACACGGTGTGTTATTGAGTGATGTCAAACAACAGAGTCAGAACAAAATTTTCTGAAGAGGAAATTAAAGTGACTCTACCAGCTTGCTTTGCTGATTGATATTTTTTGTCCTCAGTTGACACTTATAAGGAATTATTCAAGTATTTTATTCCCCTTCAAACTGACAATACAAATGCACACTAAAACTCACACAAAGTGTCATTTGATAGAATTATATAAAACTTCTGAAAGTTTACTGACCCTTTTGATCTGAGTCAGCTCTGGATCATTCAAAGGATTTACACCATTTTTTAATTGATGCAAGCAAGCACAAAATCATTTTGTTCCCCGCTGTTCATTGTCCTGAGCTGGTTTCAAAGCAAATGAGCTGTCACTCAGACTTACAGGTCAGTAAGATACTGCAATCTCTGGTCAAGGAAGACACTTAATCAAATGCCCAATTTAAACGTGTAATTAATTCACTGTATTTTTGAATTAAAGAAGTGCAAGATGCTTTTGATTAACTCCTCTTTCTCCAGACTAAAAATAGGATGATGGTTTTATCATGGAGATGAGTGCTTTGGATGCCTGTGTTTTGCGTCTCAATTGTCTCATGTTGCAAATTATTTTGGCAGATTTATAAGATGAATTATATAATCGATTTCATAATTGTGTTTGGTTTTTTTTTTTTGAGGCTCAAAAAGAATGTGTAGTATGGAAGAATGTGTTTTTTAAAAGGTCTTTTTTGAGATTGCCTAGAATATAGACAAAATTTCACATTCGAGGGAACCTAATAAGCAGTACTGCTAGCTGTGCTAATAGTTTTCTGCTGTTAATTGAAATATTTAATTCAAAACTCTTATACCCACACATTTTGTGACTGCTCATTTCTTGCTGAAAGTAGCGATGCTTTAATTCGCGTGCTGTGCCCACTAGATGGCAAGCAAGCTATGCACGATGGAGGAGAAGAAACACATCATCTGTATGCACAAGGCTTTCTCGAAGTGCTTTATAATGTAACAAGATAGATATTAGTGGTAAGCAAATGAAACAGCATTTATATTGCTCAGACACAGCCTTAGAATTTTTTCTCAAGAGTGTAAGTGCTGTTAGTATGTTCATATTATTGAAACCTAAATATACCCTGGGATCTGTAACTTTATTTTGGAAGTCAGCCCTAGCAGCAAGCCAACATCCTGGTGAAACTCCTGTTATAAACTTCTAATCCATTTAGGTTCCAGGGTTTTATGACTCATGCTGAAAACACAATATTTTAAATACCTGCGTGTTTGTTATTCTCCCTTCTGTAATTTGTCAGCTGGGGATGAACTAAGAACAGGTGTGCACTGCTCCAAATGGATAAACTGGTTTTGCCTGGGGCTGAGTGTGCAGCTAAACATAGATCTGCACATTGCTGCTCTTAGTAATGTCAGTAGAGTGGGTATTAGAACCAGGGTAGGAATTACCAGTGTTTGTTATGGGGTAGAACATAAAGACCTCAAGTGGAATGTGATGCTGTTGCTGGGCTGGGAACTCAACATGCACCAGGTGTAAAGCAGCACTCCTGTGAGTATTTTCAGAGAACTGAAATGTAAATTTTGGTGCTGTATTTTTACCTCTTCCTTTTCCCAGCTAGGAAAAGATAGACCAAGTAGATAATACTGGTAGTT